TATCTGCTAGTCTTTAAAAATTTTTGTATATGCACCACTGCTACCTATAGTCTCATAATTTTTGCAAAGATATTACTACTTTTACGTATAACATAGATTATTTATATTCAGTTTCTTTTTAATTTTATTGATGACTTCAGTTATATATTATAAAATAGGAAAAGTGCAATCTCTGTCATTTATATTTACTTCATAAGATATCTCCTTAAGTGAAGGCATCTGTTGCCGTTACGTTTATTTACAGTTATATATTGATTTGAGTAGAATAGTTAATTTTTTTGATCTACTAAATAAGTGCAGTTTTGCACCTAGTTCACATTCAGGAAAAATAGATAAAGTAATAATGTATCCGTATTTTTTTTTTCTAGTGAAGATAGTGACAACCGCAGAAAGCCACACAAGTATCGTGACAACAATAGATCTCCTGAACGACAATATCGCAGACGCGATTCAGATTCCGAGGACGATCGTAGAAAAAGACAGAGGTATGATCGCCGAGATACTACAAGACGTCAAAACAAGTCAGATGCAGATCATGAATGGGGCACTAAGGATTCTAGTCACAAGAAACCTACTGGCAAAAAGGAAGAACCGAATTTTGAAACAACTGGTAAACTTGCAGAAGATACTAACACATTTAATGGTGTGGTTATTAAATATAGCGAGCCAGTAGAGGCAAGGAAACCAAAAAGACGTTGGCGATTATATCCATTTAAAGGAGAAAAACAATTGCCAGTATTGCATATACACAGGCAAAGTGGTTATTTACTGGGTCGTGATCGCAAGGTTGCCGACATCCCCATAGACCATCCGTCATGCTCTAAACAGCATGCAGCCCTTCAATATAGGTTGGTTGCAGCCAAAAAGGATGGTCGTCATGTCAGATGTATCCGGCCATATATTATCGATTTGGAGTCTGCTAATGGTACATACGTTAATAACCAGCGCATAGATTCAAAAAAATATGTAGAACTGATGGAGAAAGATGTTATTAAATTTGGATTTAGTTCTCGGGAATATGTGCTTTTACATGAGCATAGTACTGATTCTGGGGACGATGATAGTCTAGCTGAAGAAAATCCAAATGAAGAATCTAATGTTGACTAATGTTGAACACAAAAGTATACAAATTGTGTGTGTTCACACAATCAAACACTTTTCTTATTTTTTATTAAACTTAATGTAAATAATAAAATTTCAAAAAAAAAAAAATCAAATTAAGAACAACATTAAATTTTAATTTCTTATGGTTAAAAATACTTTATGCATAATGAAGTAAAATATTTTTGTGTATATAGTACTTAATAAGAATATTTTTGTAAACGATTTCAAGGCCTTATAATAATAAAACAAGTTTTAATATAATTTGAATAATATTTAATTTAATAGTCATACTCATACACCTAAAACTATAATTTTAAAATAACATTAAAACCAAATTGTTAAATCTATCTAAATTTTGTATCTTCAAAATAAAAAACCTCAATTTAAATCTATAAGTTATGGAGCTAGTTTTTACTATTTTCTCTAATTTTGAAAAATTTAAAAATTATTTTTAACATTTTAATTACCAGTTTAAAGACAGGATTTTTCAACTGATGAAAATTATTCTACGGAAATAGTGATCTCAATATTAATTTATTATTTTCATTAATATTTTTTTTTTTTTTATTAAGAGCATTCTACAGGCATTTTTCCTCAGTGTTTTAATTCTAATTTCAAATAATAGGGGGAAAAAAACTTAAATTATTTACTTTTTTGTAATCTTATTATAATAGTTGAGAATAAAATATTGAAAAACGGAGTTGAATGGGGTCTATTTCCCTCTATTAATTAAAAAAAAAATGGAAACAATAGCTTAAATGTCAGTTAGTTATTTATTATTTAAATAATACATTATTATTATTATTATTATTTAAAAAGTTCTTGAATCACACAATTATTTCAAACTAAGTATAAACATTAAATAACTATAACAATTCTATGGAATTACAGTTGCTATCTTCAATAATGAATTTATCTGTAGTTATAAAGAAAATCTCTTTTATTGTTTCTTGACAATCACAATACTCTACATAAGGTTTTTTAATATTATTGTGAAGAAATGCCAAATGAGAAAATAAGAATTTAATGTAACAAAGACCATCACTTTTTTTTGTTTTAATTTCTGAAATTATTTTATATAACTGTACTGATTGTGTTTTAAATAAGTCTAAATTGATGTTGGTGATCACGATACATCTGAAAAAAATTATTTTTTTAAGTATAGTTATAACTTGTAATATAATAATTGGCTTACTCTGATTGTGGTTGCTTAGACAATACATTATACATTGGCCAATCTTCTTCACACGGTTTACACTCGCAATGGAAATGATATTGGCTGCTAAGCATTTCATGTCTTACACTTTTTGAATGTGTTGCATATGCTTTTCCATAGTTGTCAAAAAGCTGGAAAAAAATATGAACAAAAAGTACACGCGTTAAAACTATTGCATACTAATATTTTATTAATATATTTTTACTTAATCTTAATTTGAAACAAATGACAATTGTTTAAAATATGACATCTAATGTAATAATAGTAACTGGTTGAAATTAGTTACTTTTTATACAATTTGAATTAATTAAAATAATTTTATCATATTATAAACACTAGTTTGGTTATAGGTACCTGTGAGCCTTTAGTAATAGGCTGAATAGCTCTAAGCACTATTGTTCCATTATAGTTATGTCTTACTACATTGGGATCACAATGATGGTTCAACAGGCTTAATACTGGCAATAATGCTGAAGCAATCGGCAAACATTTGTGTTTTTCAGAAAGGCACCAAATTTTATGTTCTGAAGATTGTGTCATTTCATGAGCATTAGAAGAAACAGCACATATAATGTGAACTAATGATTCACCAACTACACCTAGTTGATGATCTGGTATTTCTAATCCTGTTAATTTTATAAGTGAAACCAATACTGCAGCATAACAATTTCTTATGAATAGATCGCTCACTGTTCTTTTAGTTTCATTTCCTTCTAAAGTGTATGCTGAACAAAATTGATTAGATAAATATTTCCTTGAACTATTAAAACCTCTCATAATCGGATCAGTAGTATCAGTATTCAGAGCACGAACAGTGGCAATATACTTATCTAGTCCAAACTCACAAATGGCTGTTAAGAAAATGTAAAGAGAAAGATGTTCCATGTGGTCCATACAAGGCCAGCTATAAAATGTTGCTAATATTTTACATTCATATTTATGACCACTCTCATATGATTTTACTCGACAATCTTCATTACAGTAAATTGCCTATAGAAAAATGTCTAATAATTAAAATATTACTTTTGAAAAACTATAATAAATGATGATAATATTATTTATATTAATATATTCAAAACTATAACATCAAGGGACTAATATTATAAGAGGAAGTATAAGTGTGGCTCCAATACAAAACAGATTGAGAAAATTTAGACAAGAGAAACAAGAAAGAGGTCAGTGACCCTAATGATAATACATATAAGTAATTGTTTAAATAATTCATATATACCTAAATTATGTTGTATAAACTATGCAAAATTTATAAAATACTAAATAAAGAAAAACAAAATAAAAACTGTTCATGACAAGTTCTATACAGGAAGATTTTGTTTTATAACAAATCTGCCATTATCACACTAAATAAAAATGTAATAAATACTTACCCAAGTACATTTTAGACAAGGTATTCCGCTAAAACAATGTTTAAAACAGTAACGACAGTTATATTCAAACGAATCACTTTTTAGTACAGCAGCATAAGGTTTTTCTATAATAAGTACATCCCCTGAAATTTGAAGTTATTATGATTTTTTTTTTAAATGCTAAAAGAATTTGGAATGTCTCAAAAATCGAATTAACCTTTTTTGGGTAAACAATGAGCATCCAAACATTAAAGTATAAATAGGATACACATTATCGTAGGAAATACAAGCTACGATAGACATAAGATAAAGTGATGCCATATCTTCTATTATGTTAAACATAATATTTGAAAAATAATTAGAGAAGCCAGAGTAGAACAAGAAGAAATCGAAATGGGAGAAATAAGAATTATGTGTCATCCTCTTAAATAAATATGAGGAATATCTAAAAATACTAGTAGGGAGGTTAATAGAAATGGAAAATACAGATAGGACTATTTAAATGAAGATAAAACAATATGATTGTTCAGAAAAGAAAATCTCCAGAACTTTTAAGAGGTTGGAAAATATACATTTAAAAAGAGTGTAAAAATTTAAATATTTAGGTGCAATAATGACTTAAGAGAAATTAGATATATAGGGAGATAAAAACTAGAGGGCAAAAATGGTAATATATTTTATTTTTAACTGGACAACTGACTGCATTCTGAAATTCTGTAAACTATCTGAAAATTATAATTTATAATTTAAGACTAATAAGATCAGTGGTAATGTATGAATTTCTAATTCACCTGGATGCTCTGGAAATAAGATGGAAACTTTCTACAAGTATTCAAAAAGAACATTCTCAGGAGGACACAATATTATGGTTTGTGTAGAAATAAGGAATAAGGAATAAAAAAAAAAAAAAAAAAACGAAATCTAGAAGAGCTATACAGGGGACCAAATATTAGAGAATTAATAAGAAACCACTTACTAGGGCTGGTTATGAATAACACAAAGTAGGGTCTCTGCTGATATAGGAAGAGAAGATATAAGGACTAAGGCCTTTAGACAGACTGTGATTAAGATGGAAGGATAGAGTAAAAGAAAATGTTATGAAAAAAATATAAAGTTTAGATTAGTTAGCAATGGCAATAGAGAAATAAACAGGTGTGTTGGGTGGGATGATCTTGAAGTTTGTAAAAATTGAAGAATATAATAATAAATATGCACTGAAAACTATTAAGTTATTGATAGGAATAAGCACAAATAAGGAAATAGTATAATTATTATTAGCTACCAATGATGATGATACTAAATTATATTTTAAATCTCTTACCTGAATCAATATCAGATGTAACAACTAAACATCGACCCATTGATTCTGAATATTTTATTTTGACAAATTTTGATAAAGACGGAATATTTTTATTTGAACTTCCAAATAATTTAATTACATTTGTTTTATCTAAATAATCATTATTTTTTTTCTTGTTGGATTGATTCAAAAGCTTCTTAATTTTCACTTCCAAGCTTTTTCTATTCCCTTTAGATAAAGATGACTGAGCCAAATGAGACAAAAAATCCTTTAAAACAATGATTATCTGGTATAATTTGGAAACTTTTTAAATTTTTTTTATTCCAGAAAGGATGTTATAATAAGAATTTTTTTGTCCAGTAATATAAGTTAAGTTTGAATGTAAAATATGAATATTATAATGTAATTTATGATATAATAAGAACATTAATTTATTGGTAAACACAATGATGAGAGCTGAATTATAAATTCACATTTGCTTATAATTTAATAATAATATAATTAATAATATTCAATGTTTTAACACAATTTTTTTTGAAGCGAAAATCTGTTGCCTTGTGTTGTAATATAGATAAATGTATGAGGGAGGGGTAACTAATTTAAAATAACCATTAGTCATAAAAAAAATGTTCAGAATTTTAAACTAATAGAGTATGTTCGGTAGGTATTCAGATTGTCTATTTTGAGTTAAATCACGATCAGACAAGTACAGCTTTCTGTCTCGGATGTTTTGAAAGAAATTATTAAATCAGCATATTAGTGTCCTAAAAAATTATACTTTAGAAGATAGTTTTTTTCTATAAGTATATTTAACTAAAAATTATAGTCATCAAACAGTGTTTTGTGGGTCTAGGACATTTTACTGCCACTGTACTGTTTCATGACCGACCAACTCGCTACGACTAACTTGTCGTCAAACCATTTCACTGTAAATTGACTAGTCACGACCAAAGTACTGACTCGTAGTAAACAATTTGTTACCATGCCACTTGCTGCCAGATATTTCACCATAAATATTATATATTAGGTATACAGAGTGATCTATTTATCATGAAACAGCGATATTCTAGGATTAGAAGTGAATTTAATTTGCTCTTTTGAATTTTTAGGCATAGAATCATTTAAGCTTTATTATTTGAATATTTCTTTAAATTACTTTAAATAAGTATGCAGATAGTTGGTCACCAAGTGACAGATGTCAGTGACTAGATAGTCGCAGCAAGATGGGCGGATCCGTTTATCTAAGTTTTATGAAACTAAATAAAATATAGGTACTTACTTTAAATTTTAAATTAGCTTCCGATATTTTCCCCATTTTTTCTAGACATTTCAATTCTCTTTCATATAATTTATAGGTCAGTTCATTAGGATATTTAGCCGATAACGCATGGTGAATATCACAAATACAAGCATTATATTCTTCTAAATAATAGAGCGCAGCTGAACGATTTGCTAATGCTAGTGCATAGTCCTGACTGTCGTTTTTTGCAATCATAACACTTTTATTGTACTCACTTAAAGCAGATGCATAGTTTTTGTTTTGAAATTGTACATTTCCCTGTGCTCTAATTTTGCTTGCTTTCTTGTTATTCTTTTCATTAATCATTAAACATTTAGTAGGTAATTTATTATGTTTTTTAAGTATATCATATGTGTACACAAATTTACTCTCTGCAGAAGATTTCTTTGCAAATGTCATATATACCTCATTAATAATTTCTTTTTGTTGAAAACTTTCAATAAAAAATAAGTCATTTTTTAAGATAGGAATATGATTTAACATAATATTATTATTGTACATATTAATGATTTGTAATTAAATATAATACAGTATATTATGATAAATTTAGTTGAAGAAAGTAAACTTTTTGAAAAATGTATTCGTATTGTAATTTAAGTTTTAAATTGAATCACTAGATTTATCGACTCATGGGTAGTATTTCTTACACTAACCACTTTTACCTTATGTAGTTATGGTAGTCGTGTAGCAGATGGAATATATTATGTAGCACGATTGTATGTAGTAACACGATTTTTTTCGAAAAAAAACTAATCGAATTCTAAAAATATCCATTTAGGCATTTACCACTTCCACTAATCTACGAATGCTGCTGTTTTTTATTGGTTGTTTTTCCATATTGATAAAATTATTTATTCCATGATATTTTTTTTTAAGATTAGAACCTACAACAATACATACACCGCTTGGCGCTTGGCCTCTGTTCGTTTTAGTGAGTTGTTGATACCACACGTTTCAGAATATTTAGTTAATTGTAATATTTCAGATATAATGGGCTCCTCGAAACACAAAAAAAAAGACAAAAAGAAACGCCATCATTCCAGTGATTCATCGGACGGAGAAATTTCGAAACACAGAAAAAGACGACATCCGTCTAGTGATTTGTCAGATGTTGATCTTTCTAACAAACATAAGAAACACAAAAAACATCATAAAAAAAAAGAAAAGCCTAAGGAGTCTAAAGAGTCTAAACATAAGTACCATAGTTCTGGCAAGTATTTTCACCTTATATTTTAATGTTATGAAACTATGAATTAAATATTTGATATTTGTTTTGTTTTTTTGGTGTAATTTTTACTTCAAATAATATCCAATTCATGTTTAAAAAATACATAGGTAAATATTTTAAAGATTTGATTTTCTGTTGACAAATGTATTTTATAATAATGATAAAACCTAATTAAATACTTATTAAAATTGTATTTTTTTGCCATTGTTTGGCGCTGTTACTCTGCTCTGCAAATTGCATATATCCTTTGATTTGTTGTACAAAAACACGTCAAGTAGGTTACTAATAAATCATAGGAAAAATAGTTTTTGAATTCATTGTAATAGTTTTACGATTATTATTTTATTTTATTTTTATAACTATACAGGCTGAGGCCCAAAAACATAAGGTGATAAACCTACCTAATATGATAATATAATCAATTTTACAAATATTTTAATTTAATTAATAATAGTAACAGAAATAATAACAGTAATAAAACACTCAATTGATGAATAGCTTATGGATAGTTAAAAGTGGGGCCTCCAATAGCAATACGCCTAATAATATAGAGGGAAGAGTTCAGTATATGATTAGAAAAGGAAAAGGGATTAATAAAGGGACAAGTAAATCTAGTATTACGAGGAGTAATTTTAAAATTGATTTATGAAATGAGTGTTGGACAGTATTGAATTTAATAAAAGTTTAGAAAAAAAATGATACATTCGCAGAGCGCCTATGATCAGTGAAACTTGATAAATTAAAAATTTTGTGGATAGGCTCTTAATTGTCTGGAGGACAAGAACCTTTAAAGAATAAGCAACAAATGACAGGAATTTTCGTTGAACCTTTTCAATTGCTATGGCGTCTATTGATGAATGAGGGTCCCAAAGAACGTATCCGTACTCAAGGATAGGTCATACTAAAAAGCAATAAGGAAATTTCAACGAGCGGACCAATTTGAACTGAGATGAAATACACTAGATGAATCCAAGGACTTTAATTGCATGACAACAAATTACCTGAATATGCAATTTGGGGACAGGTTTAAAGAAAAGTGAATTATACTTTTATGTCAGCGATTACTGCTGATAACTAACAGGAAATTATTTAGGACCTACAACTTGTACTTTTTTTTTTTCATTGTGATTTATTGTTCAAATTGTGACAGTTATGAATAAAAAATTATATTAATATAAAAAAAAGTATAGACACAATTCTTTAAACCTATTAAATATTTATGTTTAGATGTTTGATGTAATTTTGGTTTTATTTTATACTTTAGACGATGATGTTATTTTCGTGCCACCTCCTCCAAAAATATCACGACATGAGATCCGAACTCCACCACCTCCAAGTCTTACACCACCACCACCTCCTTCAATATCTTCATCATCAGATAGTCTCTCTATTGAAGAAACTAATAGAATTAGAGCAAAATTGGGTCTCAAACCGTTGCAGTTAGAAAATAAAGAAACTACCAAAAGTAGAGATGATGGATTAGAAGTTATTGCTGGCGATGAAGGGGAATTTGTTCATAAACCAGCATGTAACTCGATTTAGTTTGAAAATAAATACCTGATATTAATATAAATGTTTTTAATTATCTAGTAAGTTTAACAGAAAAAAATAAAAGTGAAAAAATAAAAGCAAGAATAGCTGAAAAAAAAGAAAAACGCATGATAGAAAATAAAATTTTGAATGTAAAAAAGTTAGCAGACAGTGATTCAGAAGAAGATGCTGTAAGTTGGGTGAACAAAACTAAAAATATTCAAGAAGAAATGGAAAAAGCCAAGAAAAAGGTGAATAATTTCTTGTTTATTAGTATTTAGAACTATTTTATTGTTGTTTTTGTTTTGGACCGATTTTTCAGCCATATTTTTGTTTTGTCAAAAGGCACAAGAATTAGAAGAAATGGATAATGTATTTGGTGTAGGTGATCTAATCGAAGAAACCACAAAAAATGAAATGAAGAATTTCTATTCTAGTAAACATTTGAAAGGATTAGAAGTTCAACACTCTATGGTATGTTACATAAACAATGTAAATATGTAAATTAAATAAATAGTAATTTTATAATTTTATTAATTTATAGGATGAATTTGTTGAAGGAAAAGATGTAATATTAACTTTACAAGATAAAGATGTATTAGCAGAAGATCCAGATGTGTTGGTTAATGTTAATATGGTGGATGATGAAACATATAAACAAGTATATTAAAACAAGATTTTAAACTTGTGTACAAAATTAAACATTTTTTTTTTGTTTTTCATTAATTATTTAGAATATTGATAGGCGGAAGCAACGTAAAAATTATAGTGGTTATGATGAGTTTGAAAACATGGATGTAGACAAGCCAACTATAGTTCTTGAAAAATATGATGAAGAAATTGAAGGATTAAAAAAAAAAAGTTTCAAACTTGGTACACATTGTTATAAATATAAGTTATTAAAAAAAAAATAATAATAATCTAAATTTGTATATTTGTTGCTTAAAGGTGTAGATGAGAATAAAGTGAAACGAGAAACTGTAAAGGAAAAATTGAAAATGAATTTAAATCTAGATTCATTGAATTCTACTCAGTTGAAACTTGCATCAGATTATTATAATGCTTCTGAAATGAATGTTAAATTTAGAAAAATCAAGGTAAATACCTTAATTTCTTATACAATATTAAAGTAGATAAATATTTAAATTTGTTTTACATTTTAGAAAAAGAAATTTAGAGTAAACCCTTTGAGAGCAGACAAGTTGGAAAGATCAATGAGACTTGCAAATAATGATGTTAAAGAAAATGACGACCTTCTTGATATAGATGATGCACTACATGGTAACGTATTTTATTTTACATAATTGATCAAATTACAATATTAATAAATGTGTCTTTACAATTAGTGTGATTATTTTTCAGCATTAAGTTAATTTTAGATTCCGAGCGTACTGATGGAGCTATTGGTTTTACTAAGATAATTATTATTTTTATTTTTTTTCTTCTAGCCTGTGAACACGTTTTTTCCAAGTAAACTTGCTCCGATTTTTACGTGTAGCAATTTTTCTGAAAGCTCAAGTTGTCTAAATGATACCTTAAAATGATCATTTTTTGATTTTCGGCACAATTTTTTAAATAAAAGCACTTAGGTAGGAAAACATAAAATTTCACAATTTCATTATTTTATAAAATTACGAATGTTTTCTACCACAAAAAATGATTTAATCAAAAAACCACAGGATACCTTTTTTGTTGTCTTATTGATTTACTTTCTTATGGTATCATCGCTAAAAGTGTTAAACCACTTCTGAGTTTTTTAAGAATTTTAATTTTTAAGTTATTTTTTGTGGTAATTACTTTATAAATACACATAGAGACTTAAAACTTGGTAATAATACTTATATTGGACTTATCTAGACGTGATCAAATTTCCAAAAATCATTAGATAACTTTTATTTTTAATAAGTGTTTTGAAATCAAATTTAAATGAAAATTGCAAAAAAAAAATACGGCACTTCCAATTATGTATTACCGAATTGCGTTCGGAATCGTCTTTCATCAAGCAATAGTTAATCATTGCATATAGATATAAATGAAATAATTTAATGTATCATACATTCCCAACTTTTCATCTACAACAGTGGCCGCTCCCATTCTCAGTATCAGCTCTTTTTACTTAATGTATGTAAAAAGACTAATTTATACAAAACATTTTATTATTTGGAGACTTAATGAGAATTGATGAAATACTCTTGTTGTAGAAATTATTTGTAGATATTAAATTAAACAATTTATTAAAATAGAACTCAAACTTACTTGACAATAATTTTATTTTATTATCAACAGTAACAATGCATTTTATTTTAAATAGATAAGTTAGCGGATTTTGACAATATGAAAAAAGAAAATGAAGAAGAGGATGACATGGGATTGCAGTTGGCATTAAAAAAAGCAAGGAAGTTAAAACAGTTAGAGACAGTTGAAAGAAAACCTAATTTAGCTGATATATTGGTTGTATGTTATTGATTTTTTTTTTAAGCTAATTTATAATATAAGTTCAGTAATTTATTGTTTTATTTATATTGGTTCATATTGATTTAAAATTTCATTGGTATACAGGGTGATTGATTTAACTTGTTACATTTATTATTTTAAATGGTAACTTATATTAAAATTTTTATAAATAAATAGAGTATTAGTTTAATATATTTAGGTGTTGCAATTTTTGATTTCCATCTATCAGTTAACGAGATTTTCCACTTTTAAGTTTGTGTACAGAATTTTCATAGTGCTCCATTGCTCTCCTGCTAAAACTTAAATCAATCACTTTGTCATTTATATTTATTTATTTTAAAATATATTATTATGTTAATTAGAAAACTGAGTTTAATGATAATGCACAAGGCGCAATTGTGTTGAACTCTACTGCTGAATTTTGCAGAACACTTGGTGACATACCAACTTATGGTAAAGCTGGAAATAGAGAAGAAGAAGAAGAAGAATCATTAATGGTAAAGATATAAATATATTTTGTTAATAGAATAGATTTACTAATATTTTTATTTTTATTTTAGGATTATGAAAAAACTAATGTTAAACAAGAGCGTTCAGTTGATTCAGACGGGTCTAATGATGGATGGAAAGAAGTAGAAATGGGTAGACATGCCATTTTTTATTTTTAAAATATTTTTTTTTTTTTAAATGTGTATTTATTTCAGAGAAAAAATTAATTGATTTACAAACAATTGATAGTAAACCAATTTTGGAACCAGAACCTGATTTAGGTAAAGGAGTAGCTGGTGCATTGAGATTAGCTATGAGTAAAGGGTATATTGAAAAGGAAGAAAATGCTAGGCCATCTGCTTCTAGATTTGCTCATTTACAAGCAAAAAATTATTCTATTGAAGACAAAACATTTTTGTAAGTCGAATATAATGATTATTTCATTAGTTAGATCTCTTCAAATAAAATTGATTTTAAAATTCTAATTTTGTTCTTAACAAATATTATTTATTACTATATTATTTTATTTTAGAGCTGAAGATGATAAACTGAGTAGAAGAGACAGATATAGTGGTCCTACAGTAGAATTCAGGGAAAAAGATAGCTATAAGCCAAACATAAAATTAGATTACATTGATGATGATGGGCATTTATTGAGTGAAAAAGAAGCTTTCCGGTTAGTAGAAACATTTAGTTATTAGTCTAGTAAATAAAATATAATTGTTTATAGATATTTGTCACATAAATTTCATGGCAAGGGCCCTGGCAAAAACAAAATAGAGAAACGAATCAAAAAAGCTGAACAAGAAGCGGTAGTTTTTAATTATAGATTTGAATAACATATTATAAATCAAATGGTTTTAATTTTTAATATTTTTTTTTAGTTAATGAAACAAATGAGTTCAACAGATACACCGCTTGGTACACTGAATATGTTACAATCTAAACAAAAGCAAACCCAATCTCCTTACATAGTGTTAAGTGGAACTAAGTCAACCCATCAAAACCATGGGTAAGCATATCATTTTTGTAAATTTAATTTTTATGAATAGTTTTACAATATGTTTTATTTATTTCAGAGGTTCTATTTCAAAAACCAAGAATGGCTGATATGAGTATTAATATTTTTTATTGTTAAATATTCTATCAACATACATTTATAACATCGGACAATATTTGTTTTTAATAACTTTTTGCATAATTGCAAATTGTATTCAAATTAATAATTAAATTATACACACCCCAGATGTTTGGGTATTAGATTTTAAACCAACAGTGATTGAAATATATTTTGTAGACAACATTAAAATGTAAATGTTTTAAATGTATTCTGTTTTTTTTTTTTTTTTAATTTTATTTTCGTACAAATTTTTCATTGTATGTAACATGTATTTTATGGTTTTTTCAAAAATCAGTAATTTTGAGACAAGATTGGTGTTGGCGATGTGGTTTTGGTTAATTTTTTTATTCCATATGATTCTAGTCCTTGAGCATATTGTGGTTCACTGTTTGTCATAAAATAGTAAATTCCCCTTTGGCTGTAAACATAAAAAAAAGTTACTTTTTAATGTCTTTCAATTTTTAAATTTTTTGGAATTAAATGCATATAATTGCTGTTAGTGATTATTTATCACTCTCAGAAACAGTAAAAAATACTCAATTTATTAATATTATAATGTAAAAAATTAGTCCCAAAATTAGCTGTATTGGTACTTACGATTTGTCCACATGTTCGCCCATGACTATTAACGAATTTGTATCAGACGCTTTGCAAAATTTCAATTTGTACATTATGTAGCTTATACATTTTACTGCTAAAAATGGAATTTTTGCATCTATTGACTCAGCAAAATATTCTACGGCCCTTACATGGCTACATGATGTATCTGTTATGGATCAAGAAGTAGATATATAGGTATTAGGTAATTATATTATATTACAAATATAAAACGTACTATATTATAATGACAAATAATTTTGTCTATTAATACATAATAACTTATTAAATATCATATTATGTGTTACTTGTGCCACAACCGGGTTGAGCGATAGCATTGTTTGCATAAAAGTCCAAGTGACCCAGTGGTGCGAATTTGCCCTTAAATGCAATGTTCGTGTGCACTACGTCAACAAAAATTGCATCCGATTTATCTAATACTTCATTGCTAACTAAGAACGTGTCAAATAGTGGAGATGCCGGATCAAGACCTGAAATGAACGAAATAATTTTTGATGTTGAGTAGTAATGTTAGTTATAGGAAAAACATTTTTTTATTTTTAGTGTACATACCCAAATATCCCGTATTAAAAATAAACCTGTTTTAAAATTATACAAGTTAAATTTACACTGTTATATTTAAATACCTATCTACCAAATTTGTATACAATTATAAATCCTCAGTTATCTTTCAAAAATTAATTTATAAAACTATTGTCACAGACAATTTAGATGACCCTTTATAATAATATGAATTTTTAATTTAATATTGTGTAAAATATTTATTTTATTTTGTGTTAAATTCACCAATTATTATACTTCAAAAACAATTTCATTTTGTGCAAAATAATAACTATATAATAAATATATTATGTTGGTTGGTATTTAGATAGCCTATATTATATAACTGAAACCTTGGTACCATACTACCATTTATTGATGTACAGTTTGGTACATACCAGTTATTCTTTGAATAGTGCTGTTCATGAGCCTCCCAACATGACCAGCCACTTGTGCACCCAGACTGAATCCAATTACGTGTAGGTCATGCAGATTCAAGTCCGGTCGTAGTCTGAACAGCCTTAAAAGCAACATTTTGGTGCATTTGCCCACTAGCGGTACATTATGCACCGCTTGCACATAACATGGTGGTTGCACCAGCTCCTTGTAGTCTACTGATATAACGTTTAAGTCACGGTGTCGGAGGTACGCTGTAGAGAATATACCGATTTTTAAAATAGAAAAAAAATCTGGGTTTCCAAAATACACATGTATATTGTATATGTCCTATAATATAATTTCGGTTTTATTGAGAGGTATACAAATAATTGTTATTCATAAACATATTTGACAAACTGACAAATAATAATCCAAATAGTTACCTACCCAATAACCAGTGCTTGAATTGGGAAAAATTAAAGCAGAGAAGCTCTGCTAAGCCATAAAAAAAATACCTAGTGCTCCTACAAAAATAATTCATTTAGTTTGGATTTAGGTTTGGGGGGACTGATGAACAAAAAAAGAAAAAAGTCACCGTTCAAAATTCCACTCATAAGATACTATATTAGACCAGTAAGCGTTATGACCCTGTCCGTTTACCATGAACATGTATGCTTGTTATCAACAACTCGATTAACTATAACTAAATGTAACAAATAAAATGGATATGGGTAAATGCCTAAAATAAAGTGCCGTTTTAATTAAAATAAAATTTAATAATGTGTAATTTTTTTGCAATTTTCATTTAAATTTGATTTCAAAACGCTTATTAAAAAAAAAACCAACAAAAATATGGTCTCTTGTCGTTTTAGATTCTGATTGTAGCGAAGAATGTAAGGGTTTTACTAAGATGCTAATTTTTTTTTTTTATCCTCTGTACAAAAATTCGACCATAAATTTTGCTCAGATATATAGGCACCATTTCTGAAAAGGAATGTTATCCAGATGGTACTTTTGGGAGGTTATTTTTTGATTTTCCAAGCGGTTTTTATAATATCTGGGAAAAACCAGGATAAAACGTAAGAATAACGGGAAATTTACGAAAATAATGTTTTTTTTATTTTTCAATTTTGTTATTTGTTGTAATTCAGTTAAAAATATTCGTAAGGACTTCAAATTTGGACAAAAAACTTAAATTTGCCTTTTCTAGACGTGGTAAAATTTTTAAACAATTTAAGCCATTTTCGAGATATTTATAGACATTTTAATTTTGAGAGTTTTATACGTAATTTTTATTCTGTAGGTAGGTACTATGTGGTAAAATTGTTAGACTTGATAAGAATACTTGGAAATTTAACAGAAAATTTATTAAAAGTTGGACGTTATGGTCAAAAAACAAATTTGAGTTTAATGTATTTTTTTTTTTATAAAGGAATTTTAAAATCAAATACTGAAAATAGTTTGTGTAAAAAATTATTCGGAAGAAGTCTAATTTTTCAATATTTTGCTTTGAAGATATGTATATTGCCGATTTAAGAACGATGGTGACGTCAGAATTGAGCGAACTGATTTAGTTTCGAAATTTGAAGTACTGATATTATATGATATGTTAAATAGCTTTATATTGTCCACACTAATGTATGTTTATCGTAGTCTAATGGTACATCAAGCCATTGGTGTCTTAGGAGTCATGAACTTCTCGAACCCGTGACTTGGAAATAATTTTTTGCATTTTTTATTATTTCCCTTTTACCTAAACATAAGAAAAACAAATGCTTTTTAAGTGTACCTAGAGACATTGCTATCGCTCGTTCGGGCTATTTTAATCGAAAATATTACATTAAACATAATTTAACTTTGTTTTGTTTTTTTATGTAATTTAGTTATTCGTGGAGACTTGAAATTTTGACAAAAAGCATTTTAGTTTTTTAATCTTTATTTGGTAGGTACTCTGTGGATACAATTGTTATATTACACAAAAATGCTTGAAAATATGATAGGAGGTTTGTTATAAGTCGTACTTAGTGGTCAAAAATAAAAATTAAGTATAATGTAGTATTTTTTTTGTATGTAAGAGTTTTAAAATCAAATTATGACGAAAATCAAAAATATTAGGGTCTTTTAAACCATGTATAACCGGACTTTGCCTCGAATAGTTTTTTGTTATTTTTGTTATATTTTCATATTTCGTTTATAAATTGAATAACCTTGTGTATCCCACCTTCCAAATTACCCACCTACAACAGTAACCTCACCCGTCCCCACTATCACTTCTTTTTTATATGTCATGTATTTTCCACTCCCCTTCTTTGGGACTGGTTTTCCGAATAAAATATTATCTCCAGCATAGGTAGACCAAAACTTTTTATAGTAAAAGATTACGGGGAACAGGGAAATGGTTAGTTTAATATTATAATATTGGGTACTGTTCGATTGTTATAAACGTTACCATACTATTTTAATATTGATGGTATACAGGGTGATTATAAAACACTTATCGTCTCGGAAAGTGTTAACTTTTTTCGAAATTTGTTTTTTAGAACATTTAAAAAATAAGTAGTTTTAAAATATTTAATTTTGGTTGTTTTTTGTCACTCTTATTTTATGGGGTAAAACCATTATCTACTTTTGATTTTCAAGTGGTAGTCTATACTAAAAATTCAATAAATAGATAGAGTATTAGTTTAAATACATTTTGCTATTGACTTTTTCGATTTCCGTCAATCCGTTAAGATATTACACTTTTAAATTTAGGCAGGGGTGAGTGGCAAAACACTATTATAATGCCACGTGCTATCATAAATGATGATAGTGGTCTATTATAAATGATAGACCATCGCTCTTCTCCTGTCAAATCTTAATAGTGAAATGTCTCGTCAACTAGAAGTCAATTACGATTTTTAATTTTGGGAAGAAAAAAAACCTACGGTGTTTTATATTGTACAACAAAATGTGTATAATATTACTTGGATGTTACTCGTATTGATTGATTACTTACTGGGACCAGTGATGTGTACAGTGGGGGGTTATTTTGGGGTTATATCCCATTACTGGCTTAACAATACAATTATAAGTATTTAGTAATTTTATCTTGGAGTTATATATTTTGGTTAAGTTAACACGAAAAAAAATTTGTAATTTAAATTTGCACACATATTATTATAATTTATTTATTAAAATTTCAGCTTTTCACCATAGACGATAAAGATGTAATATTATTATACACGATAATATTACTTTACTTTTATTGTCGAAGAGGCCACGAGGGGAAATTAAATTCGGGTTTGGAATTGTACTAAAGGAGAGTTATCAATTTATCATTTAAAAATAGATATCTATGCAATTTATTATCCTTCCCTACTTTTTAGGTTTAGACTTTAAACGGTTATAACTCATATATCTAATATTAGTGATATGCATATCAAAATGTCTAGAAAAATATTCTCTATTTGAATTTGTGATAAAAAAGGGGTTCCTATTTTATATAATAAAAGTATATACTCGTACTTATTTTAGGTCAAAGAGTAGAGGTGGAGTAGAGGTAAAAAAATTAAAAATTATTTTGAAATATAGCTAAAACGATTCTACATGATTAAAAAAACAAAATAAAAATCCTCTGAGAAAATTGTTGGCCATGGTAAACAAAATTCCTATATATATATATACCCTTCCGTCCAACTTTCCTAATAAAATAGTTGTATACCTATCTGTAGTATCAGCCTTTTTTTTCTAATCGTGTATATCATTATTTTTTTTCGTGAATTTGTATCGTTTCCTTCAAAAGTCCCGTCGCTCGTTTAATTTGTTTCAGTTGACAGGGTGTTTATAACTATACTAAACATCATAATATCCTGGCTGCGGTACAATAATAATAATGTATCATCATTATGATGATAATATTTTGGGCTTTAAACGACGTGTCGAGTGACTTAGGTAAATCCTGGCGCAAAATACAGTATATTATCAAAACTTATAATATACCGGCGTGAAATGCAAAGTTAAGTAAGTTCGTGGAAATTTGTTATTATATTGTGTGGGTTTAAACGAATTGCGTAGGTACCTACCGATATTTAACCGTGTAGGTATATCCACTGAAATTAAAACTCTATTAATGTATTGTTATTTATCACGCTAACGAAATTGAAAAGGTACAAATAATGTTAATTAAACAAATAATAACAATGTTTAAATTGTTAAATATATTATGAAAAATATAATTTCTTTATTATGTTTGATTTATTGTACTCTAGGTACTATAGTATGGCAATTGTTAAATTTATACTAACATATAATTAAACAATAATATTATTACATTTTAAGAGAATATCATACCCGTACGTATGCGCTGTCTTAAAAACGTACGATATAGCATATTTGAGTCCAATAGGACTAATTTTGTGCTGTTAGCTTTGATATTAGAACAATTATTAAATTTAAAGGTAATAACATCGGTATATTTATACATTGATTCTTTTGATACGTGAATATAAAAATTTAAAAATGCTTATTTCTCAATTAAAAATTAAAATATAGAAAAAAAAACCGAAGTTGAAACACAAATGTAGGTCAATTCATTCTAATATTAAAATTGACATCACAAAATTGGTCCTATTGAACGCAAATTTGTTATGCCGTGCATTTATAAGACATAATATGCGGGCATGACGAGGATTTCAGCGAAGACGAACGTAAAAAATGACATATCTATTTAGCTAAATATTAATTTCTAAAAATATTTTTTTTTTTTTTGTAAAAAAAGGTCATATTTTATTCTTGAATAATTACCATTTAAATAAATTGATAAAATATATGTTATATCCTAAAATATAACGTGGTCGTCTTTAATTCTAATAATAAGTAAAAATTCTGAAAATCACTTTCGGGTATTTTTGTTTGTTTTACGTTAAATATTTAAATGATATGATGGAACTATAGTATAATAGTACTACTATTATACATAGACGCGAAGGAGTTCTGGGAACATAAATATTTTATCTACTAATATAGGTATTTATATTATAAATAGATGGCAGATACCTTCTATAATAAATATAATATTAAATTATTCGTGTCTGAGGCCATGCGATTTTGGACTAATTTATTTTGGTACATACCAAGTATATTATAAAAGCAGAGCGAACATAATATAATTACCGAAGTAACGTAGCTGCATGATATTATACAATATAATATGATAATTTCATTCCAAAACCAATTAATAGATGATGAAAGCATTATCGCTGACCGGGCAGTAAATAATTTATAATATTATATATTTGATTCTATATAGTTAACTATAACAAAATTTTCGATTTCGTTCCGTTCGTGTACGATGTACCGTAGAGTGAGGCAAAATCACCGTCTCTTCAATGATATTACTCAGTGTATCGAAATATAACAACTTGTTGATATTTTAGAACGGTTAATATTTTGTGATTTCTAAATAAGCCAAAGAACAATAATACCATAAATGAATTTCGCACGAATTTCCTCATTTTTATGATTTTAGCATCACCGCGATTATTGTCTGCGTTAATTATCACTGTGATTTTTTAAACAAAATTCTCCACTGTTTTTGTCATTTCTAGTAGCGAAAAGCATCACGGTGGTCTTTCTGCGATGGTAATATTCTTTTATTATTTTAAAAACTAATTTGTTTGATTACCTAATTAGAAATAATTATATGACTAAACCGTTTTGTTTGAAAATAAAACCAAGCAGTTTTATTTGAAGAACCGAGTACAAGGGAGACTAAACGTAACCCATCTTAACTTAATCTATTTTATTTCCATCCTGTAAATTTACACATAATATAATTTAGTTGTATTAATAGACTGTACCTTCCTATCGTTTAAATGTTATTTCTTATTTCCTCTAAACACGTAAAGTGAAACAAAACGCTCGTATTATTATTTGGGTATTGTTACCTGGTCTAAGCTCGGTGTTTGGCGAATAGTCTTTGTGACCGGTGTAACCGTGAATGAGCAGCTTGATGGGCGCGTGCAGTACGAACGGAGCTTCCAAAAAGGACTCGGGCTTCGTGAAGTCTAATACATATGCTTCCACGTTCCTGTAGATTATAATATATCTTTACACATCCCTTTTTAATGTTATATAAGTATGTACAATTTTGTGAACTAGACGGGGGAACGGTGGAGTGTACGGAGAATAGACATGGTGTAATTATCGTTATTTTTTTCGTCGTTTTGTTTCGCTTTATTCGCCCGCGCACCACCGCACAAGCCTCGGGGACACAACACCGGCCGTGTTATTATGTACAACGACAATATTATTCTGTCTTTTTCGCCACCGCTTGTCGTCTAATTAAAACGGTCCACGGGGTGCACAAAAGCTCGTATATACCTACCTACCTACCTACCTACCTACCGGTTGCCCGTTGTCGTAGTCGTTGTCTATCCGCAGTCCGCGGGTGTTTTAATTATCCACGGGGTTTTCGCTTTTCAGACATGTAATATACATTTTCTTCCTCCGCGGCCTTTGCCGGTGTACACCGGGCGACTGGCATAGGTATATAATATACACTGTAATACAGCATCACTAACTATACCTTTGTTGCATGGGAGCGTGGGAGTACGCTGTATCTTTGTATATGCATATATAATGCGTAGGTATAATAATATATACACGTGGTACACGCGCACACACGTACGCACATACACACATACATACCTTCATGTAGAACACTGCAGTTGTGTTTGCGCCGCACACACACCACACCTGAATGTACCAGCGGTGGTGTAGCAATACCGCCGTGGAAAAGTATTTACATAGGAAAACGCTTTTCCGGACCTGCAGCCGTGTCTACCCGCAGCCTTCGCCCATCATAGTCCCATAGAATATATATATTGTATACGAATGCCAGTCGTAAACGTTATGCACGCGACAGAGACATTCGTTTAAAAATTTTTCATTTTTTTTTTCTAATATATATGTGTATATATTTTCACCGGCTTTTTTCCGGGTACAGTTTGAAATTATTATACTTATAAACGCGTATTATTCTCATCGCCTGCGGTTTTTTTTATGTTTCGCACACAAGCACGCAAACACACTGCTGCAACACATCACTTTGGTATTATAATCAAAATAGGTAAAGCCGGGACAATTTTAGGTTTTCACGTTTTTACTGTTTTACACAATTTTAACTTTCCACGATTTTAATGTTGCAGACTTTTAGGATTACCTACTCTACGGAAGTGTTTTGTAGCAAATTATTTTGAGAAACATAATAAGTCAGATTTTAAAAATTATTTGATTTGTATAGTGTTTGTGTGTCGGTTATGTAGGTAATTTTGCGCCGCGTTCAATGGTGGTATTTTAAGATAATTTTCTGTAAGAAATGTGGCAAATCAATATTTAATTATGATAGATGTGATAAGTCATATGATAATTCATATTTATACCATATAGGATACACAGGCCTAAACAAATTTTTCCGTATTTTACATAATAATAAAAAGTTACATGAAAGCACTTTTTATAAACAAGTTACAAAAACCGTAATATAAATATTTAATTAAATTTAAATTAAAAATACAGGATAATATTTAAATAAAACTTTTTTTTTTATCGATGTACTGAAATTTGAAATTTTAACTGGTCGTATTCTTAAAAACAACCAAAATGCAGTATTTCAATTTTTAATTATAATTAAATAATATTCTGTTCAAATTACTATACAATTATTTTCATAAACTTTATTTTTAAAAGAATTTTCAGTATTGTCATTACTCGTATAAATAGTTAAAACAGATAGTGTATGGAACCGATACAGTGATTAAGTCGGAATTGAGCGGACTGACTAAATTTGTTTTTTGAAGTTCTGATATTATGCCGATATTATATTATGTTATATCAAATAACTCTATATTGTCCCTTTTAAAGAATATTTGTCGTGGTATAATAGTTATACATGCCTATTAACATTCTATGGGCCTGAAAGAAAATCTGACTGGAAAGGTACTTTAGAAAAGTAATTTTTCTAAGAGTTTTCTTAGCAAATATGATAATCCGGAAAAAAACGGGAAAATCCATACAATACTAAACAAATATTATCAAAAAAAATATAGAAATTCTATTTAATTATTTTACCATAATATGTCATATATATTGTTGAAAAAGCATCACTATCAACTGAACTGTGCTCAGAATTGTTTTTCCGTTAGCAATGATTTAACGTTGCTAACAGGTATACAATAAATTACATATAACAGTGGCTGCACCCGACTCTATTATTCTAGGATTTGATTTTACGTCTTAAAATTTAAAAAATGTATTTATTTTTACTTAGACCAAGTGATTGAATTTTTTGGAAAATAAGGTTTACACATTCTTTTTGTGAATGTTCATTTGTAAATATTATTATTTAAAAATTCATATCCCTTAATGATGTATAATTTTTTAATTTTTTCACTGTACACGATATCTGTTTTTTTTTGTCGTACGGTTCGAAATTAAACTTATATTTAACTATTAACTGATCACCAAAAGTTATAAATCGTTGAACTGTATACAGTTTTATTGTCTACATAACATATCATATCCAATTGCACGCAACTTGACTCTGTCACAAAAAAACCACGTACGAGACTCGGTTATCGATCAACATCCCTTTTTTTTTGTACGCAATTTGGATATAGCATTTTTTTTGTTTAATACGAGAATGTTCTCTCGACTTAAAATCTAGTCGATTCTTTTAATATTTTAAATTGTTTTCTGTGCTAAAGAATATGACCCCCTTCTCCGCATTATTAATTTTTACAAATTGTTTACCGTTCTACATTTTATTGTTTTTGTATGCGTGGTTTGTAAATTATCATGCACCTCTTGTCTGCTATTAGGTAACTGTGGAATACTGAACCACGAGCTTGTAGAATATATTCTGTTTAATTTGTTTTACATATTAATTTGTATCTAATCGAATTTGTTGAATTTTCCCTTAAGTATGAATTCAAAAATTTGGAAGGGCGTTCACATATACTTTCAACAGTGTTTCTTTTAAGTAGGTTGTTAATTATTCGACGTTCGGGTTGGTATTCTTTGTCTGGGTTGTAGTTATGATCAAGAAAATACGATTCTCACATAACATTTTCGTTTTCACTAACTTTCAAGTAAATCTTCGCTTATAGTGCATTTAAACCATTTTAATGGATTTCGGAGAGGTTTATGATAACTAAATTTATTTATTCACTGTTAAATTAATTTTCCCTTTTTAATTTTTTTTTCGACCGAATTAATTTTAAGCATTCAATAATTAAAAAAGACGTACTTGGATAATGGGGACATGTGCAGCCACTGTTATAGGTAATTAAATGTATACCTGTAAGCAACGATAAACCATAGCTAACGAACAAAACCATTCCGAGAGGAGTTCAGTTGATAGTGATGTTTTGTCAATAATATATATGTCATATTATAGTAAAATGATTAAATAGGCTTTATATATATTTTTTAATAATATTCGATTAATGTTATACCGATTTTACCGGTTTTCCCATGTTTTTCCTCGGTTTTTCATATTTTATGAGAAAACTCTACAGGAAATCGAAAAATTACCTCTTTAAAGTACCTTCCCAGTCGGATTTCCTTTTAGAAAAACTGAAGGGCTTGAAGGTAAAATTCACTTTTTCATTGATTATTGTGTAAGAAAAAATTACCTACATGTAGGTGCAACAACCAGTTAAATCAGATAAATATATGTATAATTTTTAATGAAATTAGATTTATCTTGTTTTTGTTTTTTGGTATAACACCCTGATAATTTCGGAGTTACACCACTAATAAAACATTAAGATATAATGTAAGAAATCTACGAAGTTTTTTGAGTAGTAAGTAATATTTAAGTTGGTCAAAAAAAATTATTTTTTTTATACTTACAGTAAAAAAAATAATATTTCGGACAAGAATCCAGATAACTCCATGTCAACTTAACCTTGATAATTATTTTTAAAAAATCTTATGAATGTAGAAAAACCAAATGTGTTTATTCTTTTTGGGTACTATTAATAAAATTAAAAGATTAACATCTCTTAAACATATTTTTCTTAATTTTCATTGTTAAAAAAAAAAATTACTTTTATTCATATTGAACAATTTTAAAAAGTGGATTTATCTGGTTGCTTCAATTGCTATAATTATAAATGGAAGCAAAATTGCTGGTAGAAAAATTATGCCCAAAAAAATAAATCGTTATATTTTAGAAATATATTTCGTACATTTTCCCGTTATTCCTCAGTTTTTTTTTCGGTCTTTCACTTTTGATGAGAAAACTTGAAAAAATCGAAAAATGACCTCCTTAGAGGACCTCTCCACACCGATTCCCTTTCAGAAAAGATGCTACACTTAAAAATCGGAACAAGATTATTGGGAGAAAAGTTGCGCACAGATAAAAAAAAAAACAGTTTTGTAAAACCATAAGCTTTTTCGCTCCGCTCTGTCTAAAAATTTTAAGGTATGAATACAAATAACGAACTGCGTTTATTGTGTTGTACGATATAAGTTAAATACTAAGCTATAGTTAAATAATGATATAATTTTAGACCGTGCTCTGGCACTGTATTACTAAAAATATTAATATCGATACTTTGTCAATTTTCATATTTTGAGAACTTCTTGTTGAAAATTGTATCGGGAGCCAATTTAATATTACGTTTCTTTGGAGCCGATTCAATGGTCGTGATAGTGTATGACCCGCTTTACAACTGTTACAAATTTACATTGAATTGTGTTTTTAAGTCAACTCATCGGAATCATAATATATTAAAGTTGAATTATCTGACTTTTACTCGATGAGTGATGGTGAAAAGAGTATAGTTATTTTAATTTTATTTTGAATATCAAGTTGTTATGTACGTTTAAAGATTAAAATTATTTGAATAGTTTCGATAACTATCAGAAAAGAATCCGTGATTGTAATATTAAACCATAAAGTTTTATTTATTCAACGAAAAAAGGTTGATATTAACACTCCACATACGTAACACACAAAAATATAAGTAAATTTAAGAACAGAGAAGAATAAAAAGTAAAAAATATGCCATGTTATGCAAATTTAATAGAGAATACTCTAGTCAAAACAATTAATTTGAGTTCATATATACATATTTAGAGATAATGTTGTTGATAGTTTAATGAAGAGATGTTTGAGGAAATTAGAGTTTTTCAGAAAGGAATCATGTTTTCGGATCATTTCTAATGACATTTTTTGTAAATTATTTATCGACTGTATTTTATTAAAAAGAGATGATAAAAATGTAGTTTCATTTTATCCTCGCTCAAAACAGTACATAATATCCATGCATGGAAATTGATACAAATGAGTTCTCGTCATAATTTTGTAGATTTTCACATAGGTAGGTCATACATTCGGGAAAAGGGACATTATTTATCTAGTTATTCTTTTTTCATTCTAGTGGTTTTGATTTTATTATTGTACTTTTAGACGTGAATATATTTTTTTTTTGACAAATCGCCTGAATTTTGAATTTACGAATACAAAGAGAAAATAAATAATTTGGCATGCACCTATATATATTATTATGCTATTATATACTTATACTTTGCATATACCCTATACATTTACATACACCTACCTATAATAATGAAGTGTTTTACAAATGGTGTACAATGTACAATGTACATTATATAATATATTTTTGTATATATTCTAAAGTGTTTTTACTATATATCCTTTAGTACAGTCGCAGAGGAAAATTCAATGAAATAAAATTGTGTGTAGGTACCTATATCAAATCAAAAGCGTGTTTATTATTATTTGTATGTTTTTAGACATAACTGCGAGTCTATATAGGTTAAAATGCAAAGCTGAGCAAGTTATTTATTTTATTCAATTAGTTAAAGTTAAGCTACTTTAATATAAAAACTAATAAAGTTAGAATAGAAGTTATTTTCTTAAATATTTCTTAACTTAGTTAACTTAGTTAGAAGTAAGTTAGTGAAAATAAGTAACCTAAGTTTGAATAAAAGTTACAAACTATTTTATTTTTCATGATGTAAAAAGCCATAGTTAAATTATTGGTGATAATATATCAATTAAATTGAATTGCTAATTTGATCAAACGTTTGAAGTATTAACCTTAGTTAATTGCGAATATGAAATAATTTTTAACTAACCAGATCCAGAATGAATAACAATTGACAAAATAAGAAATAAAATATCATATAAATATTATACAAGTAGCTGGTGAATATTTAAAATATGTATTAAATTTTGATATACGTGTTAATATACCCAGATTATGTTACTATTTGTGTGATAATGGGAAATTTATTTAGGGAGCGCAAGATTACACAAATTTATCTAGGGAGGGTAAGTCTATTATGATAATTTTTTTTTCGTATAATCACTTTCAATTTTAAAACAGGTAGTATGTATCAACTGCTACTCTTTGTTCTGTTTTTTTAGGATTATACCAGTGGAATATTGCAAAAAAGAAAATGTGTACAAATCATAGATGTAATATACCAAAATTTATTATGTAAGTATACAAGTATTTACATATTATAAATTACATTATTTAATTAACTATTGAGAGTTACGAAAAAAATATAATTGATAGATTTATAAAATATTATATTAATTAAATTTTTTTTTTCTGGATTGTTTAGCTGACAATTTTTAAATGTCAATTATAGAACCATAGTTCATTCTGAAGCCATTTGGTTTTTTTTATTGATATCATATTGCTAATCCAGGCAATATTTTTTGTGTCAAATAGGTTTTTATGAGTTTAAGTTTTAAGAAATATTTCTCAGCACTAGTTGACGTAATTGGAATCATCCTAATGATTCGAAGAGAAATTCAAATATTAGGAAAAGAACTCGGAGTTTTTTTTTTATCATTTTTCCGTCGGAAATGACGTCATGTTTTCATTTATCTAATTTCGGAAAAATTTATATCTGTGTACAAATCTATTGCCTCAATATCTTTTGAGTTCCCATCAGATAAAATATTTTATACATTTTTACAATGTTTCATTAGATCTTCATCATTTATTTATTTTATTTTATTAATATTGAATAAAACATTAAATGTATCTTCATACTACATAAATTATTCAAATCTTTCTCCTATTTAAATAATAACTTGATCCAGAATAACAATAGAATAATCTCGTATTTTTATATCATTATTGCTCTTATAATTAAATAACTTGTTAGGTTTCTTCATTATTTTAGAGGAAGAGTAGTGATAATTATTTATATTCTATACTTATACCGCAGTCAGAATACGAATTAATTGTCATTTGTTTATATATTTACGTTATTTCGGTTATTGTGTTTGGAACAATATTAACTTATTTACTTTACAATACACATGAATTTCAAATATTATTTTCATCGCTTATATTAATTTGATTATCATCGATTTGTTGAGTATACTATAGGCACACTGAACTCGAGTAACACATCACACATGCACAATAGAAACCAATATATTAGACGACCAAATTATGCTTATAATGCATACCTTACACATGAATTAATAAACATACATTTGTCTAGAGGGTATTTACAGTATAGTTAATATTATTCAAAGGCTATAGAAATAAAAATAAGTGAAATGTTTGATTGTAATATTATAATATGTTTGTATAGGACTAAGAACTATGTGTCGTACGTGGCCGTTAGGCACATGCACAAGTAGGACAGATATCGAGTGGAGTTATTAATAATAAAAACTAATCACTATTATGAAAGGGAATCAGAATATCGAGATCAGAGAGGCGAGTAAATTCAACTACAGCTAACAAAAATCAATGGGGATGTGATTAAAAGAAATGGACATACTTCGCACGCTGGTGCAGCCACTGTTGTAGGTGGGAAATTGGGAAGGTAGGATACTGATGGGAATTTAATGCATATCTGTAAACAACGATAAACTACTGTTAACAAAAAACGTTTCTGAGCGGAATTCAGTTCTAGTGATGCTTTATTAAAAATGTATTTGTCATATTATGGTAAAGAATTAAATAAGCATTATATATTTTCTTTAATAATATTTGTTTAATATTTTACTGATTCTTTCGTTTTTCCTGCGTTTTTCTTGGTTTGTCACAAATGCTGGGAAAAATTTTGAGAAAATCAAAAAATTGACCTCCCTAAAGTACCTTTCCAGTCAGATTTTCTTTTAGAAAAATTACTTTCATTAGAAATAAGAGCAATATTGCTGGTAGAAAAGTTGTTCACACGAAAAAAGAAGGCCGTATTAATTTTTAATCTAATACCTATACTTATATTTCGTACATTTTTCGTTTTTCCGTCATTTTATTTCCGTTTTTCTAGATATTATGGAAACCGTTTAAAAAATCAAAAAATTATTTCCCTAAAGTACCATGTAGATAAAATTCCCTTTCGGAAAATAAGCTACACTTCATACATCGGAGCAAGATTTCTGGTAGAAAAGTTTGCACAACAAATCGACGGGTACTTTGCAATTAAAATAGTCTGAGCGATCGATGGCTTGGGACTCTAGGTACACCCAAAATGCATTTGTTTTTTTCTTGTTTAGGTAAAATGGGAAGACAATGTAAACAATTTGTTTCGAAACTCGGGTTCAACTCGAGACACCTAGGATGTCAATAGGAATGTATAATCATTAGACTACGACAAAGATATTCAAGTTTGATAATATATAGTTATTTAACAAAACATATAATGTCCGCATAATATTAGAACTTCAAAAAGCTATAATTTTGAAACTATATCAGTCCGCTCAATTCTTACTTTATCACCGTTCTTAAATCGGCAATATACATATATTAAAAAAAAAAAATTTAAAAATTAGATTTTTTCACTTAATTTTTTTCTCAAGATTTTCATCACTAACAATTTTACCATATTTTCCCTACCAAATAAAAATTACGCATAAAACTTGTAAAATTAAATATTCATAAATAGTTCAAAAATGGCTTAAATTGCTCAAACGAGTTGTCAAATTGCAGGTGAAACATTTTATATGTGTGCAAATATATATTTTACATTGTTACAAAAAAAAATGTATTAGATTTATTTTATTGGTGAATACATTTTCTTAATTTCCTTTTTTTAAATAAATTAATTCGTACAATACTGAATAATATTAATATTATCATTTTTTATTCGTTCAAATGTTTTGATGATTATATTTTCTAATTTATTTTGTTAGATATTAGATTATTGGAGTTTAACATGAGATAACAATGTATTTTTTAAATTGTAATGTTATAATACCACATTAGTAAATTATAATAGATTTAGATTAAAATTGTATTTATAACAAATGAATGAGCTGAGATATTAATTTAAAATAAGTTTAGAGTTTAATAAATTAAAAAGGATTTTTCTACAAATATAATGTAATGATATAGTACATTTTTCGTTTGACGATGGCGATTTGAAACTTTTTACGTCCATGTATTATATATTAATACTATACTATATTCAAAACACCAAACATAGTAATAATGCTATCCCTTGGCTACATCGATCTTAAATTGTTAATCTCATGTCAGTGTTTCTATCTTGGGTTTTTACATTGTTATACTGCGTTATTTGAAGGGATAAAGACACAAAGCACAGATGCTGTCTTCCCTTTCAATATTATTCCCTCCCTCATTTATATTAGGTTAACATTTAGGTTGTTCAATTACAGTTGTAATTATATCACAACGTGTATACGATTTTATTACAGTATTTTCATAAATGTTTTAGGTATCTATCGAATAAAAATACATACTCTGTATAGTATATTATTATCGTTATATTTTTTTAATAAATAAAATTGTTTTGGCATTTTTCTAAAAATTACGGAAAATGATGTATAGGGATTAACTGAATTCCAGTTCCAGTTAATTATAATTAAATATTATTTGTAATGTTTTTATACAAATACTACAATTAAAAGTTCTTGTCTAATATATTCAAAAAAATTAATAAGTAGGTAAAAACAATATTAACAGATTCGATTCATATTGTAGTAAACTAATGTGTTTTGAAGTTTATTTTTATGATTATTTTTTGTAAATAATCTTAAGATTTTCGGTGTCATACAAACAGTAGAAACCCTGAAGTCATTGTTGAAGGAGAACCGTCATCGTTTGTAAACTCCAGTGTCTGCTTCCTGTACTTGACCCGGAATAAAACCTACGTAAATTTATACCTTTTGAAAGGAAAGTTGTTTTATGAAGTAAAAAATCTCGTTCTGAGAAGAAAAAAATGAGAACAGAGAGAGAGAGAGAGAGAGAGAAAACCGAAGAAAAGGATCATTGAGGGCACTTCATTTCCCTAACACGACGGGAAACCCACTGGTACGTTTATCTTTGACAAATCATGGACGTGCGAGGAGAACAGAATCGAGGAGAAACCGAAAAAAGGGGTAAGCGGCGTGCCCCTGGATTTATTTGCCACTTTGTGTTTATTCTCTTACGACCCTATTGCGCGTTTTCCCATTCTTTGGCATATTATTCAGAAAGCGTACGTGGTACAACAATATACCGATGTGATAGAACTCATACGTATAATAATAACTACAAAAAACGTTCTAAACCCGCGATCATAGGTTATAAACACAAGAAGATGGCTAGTAAAATACAAATGGAAGGACCACAGTAACCTTGGTTGATATATGGATGTAAAGACGATTAGAGGTAGAGTGAGGAAAGTGATAGTATTATTATGTGTGCGTTGTAATATTTACATTATTAATTCGAGTACCTAATATTACGTTTTTTTGGCTTTGTTTGGTAATACCAGATTTGTATATTGTCATAAATTCAACGAAATTATTTTTTTATTAAGTAAGTGTTTCAAACTATTTCACTGTATGATAAATAAACCAGTTAGTCGATTATTTGGTTTCATTTATATTGGTTTATTGGTTTCATTAATTTGTACAATTTTAAAATTTTGGCGACACGTAAATTAGGACAATGTTATTATCGTATAAGAAATCTAATTATACATCGTTGCAAATACAAATTTAATTTATATCTGTAAGTAAAGATTTATCATTGTTAACGAAAAACGATTCTGACCCGAGTTCGGTTTATAGTATTGCTTTTTCAATAATGTATGTCTTTAAAACTGATACTGGGAACAGGTGTGGCCACTGTTGTTGGTGTGTATTTGGGAATGTGGGATACTTAAAGTTATTTAATTTATAAATGTAACCAACTATAAACTATTGATAACGAAAAATGATTCGGAGCGAAATTCATTTAACATTTTTTTGAAAGGCAACAATTATGATTTTTGTCAACATTTGATTTTAACTCTTAAATATAAATATATGAAAAAAAAGTACATTTACACTCAATTTTTTTTTGAATACTATCTACGACTTATGATGAACCTTCTGTCAAATTGCCAAAAATTTCTGTTTCAGTCTAACAATTATCTACAGAGGATTTAGCAATTATAAATTACGGAAACAACTAGCAAAATAAAATGTCTATAATTAGTTTAAATGTTTTGAAAATTTTAACACGTCTAGAAAAAGAAATAATAAGTTTTCTATCAAGATTTCAAGTCTCTATACGAATTAAATTAAAAGAACAAAATTTTAAATAACAAAAGAATTATTTTCATAAATTTTCCCGCACTTTCTACATATTTTTCGGTTTTGCTCATTAAAGTTTTGCTTATTAAAAAAACTACAAAGAAAATCACAAATGACCTTCTTTCTTGTGAAGTAGTTGGTGAGTATTTCTTACTCACCAACTACTTGTAGATTAAAAACGCTACAAGAAAGTTCTTTTGTTGTTTTAATATTAAAGTAATATGTTTGGTAGAAAACATTAGCAGAAAAAATTGAGTTCAATGGAATGCTAACGATACGTGCCTTAAATTTATCAGTTTTCATTTTTCACCTTTTTCTGGGTTTTCCAAATTATTACGAAACCTACTTGAAAAATCAAAAAACAACTTTTTTCGTGAGCATCTTAGATATAAAATTAAACAAAAACGTTCTCTTGGAATTTTTTGGTTCAGTATTTTAGACTAGTATTTCTGGTAGAACACATATGTTTCGAAAATTAAAAACAATGAAATCGGTAACACAATGACGTGACGAAAATATTTGCCGTTATGTATAAATTTCTTTCCGATTTTTCCCAATTACTTTAAATACTCTTTAGAATATTAAAAAATGGGCTGTTTAATGCACTAACTAGATAAAATTTATTTTCAAAAAAGGTGCTATACTTGGTATACCGGAGCAAGTTTTTCTTTTCGAAAAGTTGTTGACAGACAGACAAAGAAAACGCGCATTTAAATCGTCACGATTGGAATTTAAAAAGTAATACCCCCTCTCACATTATTTATTTGCTTTTAGATTCTGAGTAAAACGAGAAATATATTGATTTTACAAGTATTGTTTTACTATATTTTTGTGACGTGTGTGTCCGATTTTTTCGATTTTGTATTTTTCTATCTATAAATAACTTTTATACCAACGATTTCATGAACAGCATTTTTTCTGGAAGACAATTTTATCTAGTTAGTGATTAAGAACTTCCTTTATTCATTTTCGTGTAGTTCTTAATATTTGAGAAAAACGTAGGATAAATTGGAATGTTTACGGCATTAATGGTTTCATTATTTTTGATATTATTTTTTAAAATGTAAATAGATTTAAAAAAAAATATAGAGAACTGGAATTTGCACAGAATACTTATATTAGCTTTTTCTATAGACGTGATAAAATTCTCAGAACCTTTGAACTATTTATAGAAAATCCATATTTTTCAAATATTTATTTTTAAGTTTATTATGTGAATACAATTGTTTGTCTTAACAGAAATGTTTGAAAATTTAAAAACAGGATTATTATAAATAGTACTTAGTAGTAAAAATAAATAAAAAATTGGGCATTATTAATTGTTTATAGGCGTTTAAGTTAAAATTTTGATGAAAATCAGAGAAATTATGGCAAAAAAATGTTTAACCGAATTTCGCTCAGAATCGTTTCTCATTAGCAATGGTTTATCGTTGTGTATAAATATAAGATTAAAAACTTTATATTTTATAACTTTACCTTCTCGACTTCTCATCTACAACAGTAACAAATCCGTTTCCAGTTATATTAGTTCTATGGTTTGTATACAATATATTTTGTTATATTCACATTAAACTACATATTGAACTATTTATAATGACTAATACTGTTAAAGAATCAATACTTTTACAATTTTATTTCAAATAATATTATTTCATGTTTTTTACGCATTACCTTAAATGAAATTAATATTGTTAAAATCAATATATCGATATGTTTACAATCTTAAAATACAATTATAAATCATATATTATTTATTTTTCAATGACAGTTATAAACGAGGTTTTTTATGTTCAAACTTTTATGTTATCACCTCTATAGGAAATATAGCGATTTTCTGTAGAAAATTGTTTTTTATTTATTATCACGGTGAAAATGAATAGCTTCCAAACCGCTGTGATAACAAAAATTCTCCGGTACGAGTTCGCACACTCGATGTCATAAATCAAAATGAGTTATTTTCGTAAAAAAGGGAAACGGATAGAGATTGGAAAGTGTAGGGTATTTTTTTTTGGTTTTTTTTCTACAAATTACTTTTATTTAAAAAAAAAATTGATTAAACTTTAAACGAATTTTAAATAACTATAACAATTACAATAATATATTTTCAAACAATTTTTTATTTTTTACGAGTTTAAAAATTTACACCTTTGCGTANAAACGGATAGAGATTGGAAAGTGTAGGGTATTTTTTTTTGGTTTTTTTTTCTACAAATTACTTTTATTTAAAAAAAAAATTGATTGTTTAATCAATTTTTTAAACGAATTTTAAATAACTATAACAATTACAATAATATATTTTCAAACAATTTTTTATTTTTTACGAGTTTAAAAATTTACACCTTTGCGTAAGATGAAAATAAATTGTTCCTATATTATTGGTTTTATTTTTAAGTTTTAGACATTGAACATATTTATTTGTATGGCAAAGTTCTATATTTTGGCCGTCATTATATTATTTGGAACTAGCTCGTTTTCACCGTACTTCACTGCACACGAAAATAAAATAAATAGTTTATGGGGAAATAGTTTTTCGACAATCGTGAACAGAAATATGACTAGGTATACTATATTACTGCAAATGACAAATAATAATAATACAAAAAATAAATAAATAATGACTGCACATTAAACTTTTTATATCACAATGTGCTAGGTGGAACCGAATGAACATGAAAATCAATCGACTTACTGGATTCTATAATAATTTTATACCAGTATTTTGTTAAAATACTAAATTAACTATTGAGAAATTAAATTAGAATACACAATTTTAACGAAATTTATATTTTATTTATGAGGGTAGGTATAGGTTATGTAGGTATGTAGTTATATAGGTAGTATATATATGTGATTTTAATTTTACCTCGTATATAAGTAGAAAGTTATATTTGGATTCGGACATCTTGATGGCGGTTCTATACAACTTTCAAACGTTGAGAATCCCGGCATATCTTTTAATAAGGAGAAACCATTGCTTGATACTAGGTAACTCAAAATCCATACTGTAACAAAAATGTAATTTTTTAAAAAACTCGAGAAAATGAAACTTTAGTGGAAAATATGATATTTTAAGCTTCATAATAAATATATACAAAAAAAAAAAAATGACCGAGGAGGTTAGATTTTAAATAAAACATGTAAATACGTGACCAGTATATCACTCAATCTCTGTATTTAATTTTTTTAAAATTGATTATAAATTATAATATAGGTAGAAAGTGGATCTAGGAATCATAAAATACCTAGAGGTATTTTTATGAACTTCTTCTGAAGTTGCTAAGTATAATATTATTATATGTACTGTGAGACTTTTTAGAAATGCTGGAACTTTTACTACGTTTTACGACAGAAATAAAATGTCTAACCTTATATCTGTTGTCTGATGAATATTTACAGTAAAATTGACAGAAATATACAAAAGTATATCACATGGGAATTTATAAGACGATCATCATAGACAAACTATACCAAGAACATTGGTGCCACTAAAACCTATTTACATTATTAATTATATTAATCCATTTGATTTTATATCCTTACCTGATAACGTAAACCATCAGGGCGACGAGACAAATTTTGAAAACTGATATATTCTTTCTACTCCTATATTACAATACTCTCGCTTTATATAGTTAACTTAAAGTACATATTTTATATTCTGAGCGGAGAAAGGAATATATTTATTTTAGTACAAGACCGAATTTGAATTTATTGCTGTTATTACCTAGGCTGATTCTAACTATTTAAGATAGAAACAGAAGTAGAAATAACTTATGTTACAATTTTTTTTAAAAATATTTACGAGAATTTTGAAGACCAAGTATATATTATACTGTGAAATTCAATTTGATTTCACGGTTTTTACTTCTATTTATTATTTATAAATTGTAAGAGAAATGTTTATACATTCTATTCACGGTTTCACTAACACGTTTATCTTACTTCCAATAAGTTTGTAAGAGAATACAATTTATCTTGCCGATTGTATATTATATTATGTTTTAGTGTTACTTTAATTTATAAAAGTTTATTTTGTCAGCCTAATGAAGATTCTTTTTTATATTCTTATCGTTTAAACTTTTAAAATCTACAACAATTTAAAGTCAAATATATTATATATGTTTTATAAGTGTAATTGAGATGAAAGTAATGTTCTCTTCGAAGAAAAAGTTAAAAGAAAGTGTTATCAATGATTTTTTTCTTTAAGTATCTAATCGTATTAACTTAAGTTATTTTATGATGGATTATCTATAAATCACGTATAATTATTGTTATTAAGGGATTTATATTTATTAGAAAAAACAAACTGTCTATCAGAAATTGGTTAGTATAGGTGTTATTAAATCGTATGAATCTAAATATTTCCAATATTGATAAATTGATTGAGAGCATTCCTAAATAAACAAATATGCCAGCAAAATTATTTTGCGCATGAAGTGTGCCCAGATATGGAATAAACGAAAAACCTTGGGGAAATAAATAATTTGATGAAAATTGGTCTTATGTTTTTATCTCGATTATTACATAGATCTACATACTGAGATGTTAAAATTGGGGTACATGTGTAATGATAAGAGAAATCCATATTTTTGATGATATATCTATTTATTTAGTTATGATTGAGAGATTTTGAACCTCGTGATTATAACAATACTATATTTAGCAAAAATCATATAATAATAATTCTTAATACGTGATTACTAGTTAAACAAAAAAAAAATAGGTTTTAAATTACAATAAATAATAGTTAGTAGTGCTTGAATTAGGGTGAGGGACTGAGAGGAGTATCTCTTATTTTTTAGAAATATTATAACGTACCTCTTCTAATTTTCGAATGTTTCTCTTTTGATAAGTAATATATTTGATGATAACAATATAATGAAATTATTACTGAATTTCAACTAAAATTACCGTTAAATTTCGACTCAGTAGTCTAAATTTCCAAGTTCAGGAGGGCGTGACCCAATCTTCTCCTATCACCATTCATGAATGGACATTATGAATATATATGGACATTGGACATATATTATGAAAATATCTAAACACTTGAATAATTTTAAGAAACGTACAATTTTCTTAAACTTACGTTCTCTTTATAATTATTTACCAATTCAAACACTGTTAAAATTATAGATACTCTTAATCAAATTGATTGATACAAATTTAGATTAATTGTGTTGAAAAAAATATAATATTGTGGCCAAAGTTATTATTTTTTATTCAGTTTTTGAGTTTTGAATAATTAGTTTATTTTGTCCCTCTTTTTGAAAATAGTGTGGTGCTTAACATTTTTATAGTTAAGCGTGGTCTGGTATCTACAATAATGGATGTACTTAACATTAAAATAAATACAAAAAATAAAACATACTACATGTAAATTATATTGCAATTGTATTATAATCAATTATTCTGTACGACCAAAATAGCAATGCACACTAATTATTTTTATGTTTCTACGCCAATAATTGAGTGTGCTCATAATACGATGAGTATGTATACTGTATAAATAGTTAATATATTATGGATCAAACAACGTCCTTCGCGGGCCATTTGACAGTCCAAATTTGTGTTTGCGAGTCCCCACATAATATCTAGGTAACTATTATTATCTTTTTTTTGTAAACTAATTAATGTTTTGTGATAAAAACCGTTTAATTTAAGTGCATACCTATAATAATAATTAGTTGGATTACCTACCTATTATAGTATTCGTATAATTTCTTATATGTGTTTGTTGATATACATTTACTGTAAAGTAATTTATACTGTGAATCTGTTGAAAATAAAATAGGTATAAACGCGCGTTAAAAAAAAAAAAAAAAAAAAAAATGAAATCACATAATATATTATTTTATTAGTAGGTATGATAGTTATTAACCATAAAATAGCTCGATTTAAATTTAAATTTAAACTGCAGGTTTTGTTTATTGTAATATTAATGGTCGTTTGAAACACATAAAAAGATCACACGAAATACACAAGCATCATTTTAGTAAATTTTGTATAAACTAGAGAAGTTTTCAAATTTTAAACTGAAAAATTGTTTTTAATAATTTTTTTCTCACTTTCGCCAAACGATTTACTTTTTCGTTCTTAATAAATTTAAATTTAATAGATTATTTATCACTATTGATAGGGATACCTACGCGTACGTCAAATTTTTTTTTACAGCGTTCAAGAATTTGAATTTTTATTTAAAATATTAATTAATAAGCGTGTAAAAACTGTATACAAAATTAAGTGAATTTTTTAATTATATTATCATATTATAGAAGCATATTTAAGTAACGACTAAAAAAATATATATTAATTTAGTAATTGTTCACATCACAATATTTACGATAAAAGATTATAATGGACACAAAATTTAACAATTTAAACTCAATTTTCTTAGTCAAACAACAATTTATAATATATGTATATAATCTGTTTTAGTTGTAAAAGCTCTAATAAAAAAAACATATTACAATTTAAGAGTTAGTCACAGAATAATAAAACGTACTGAAGTATACAATAATCATGTAGGAATGTATACAGTTAAATAAATCTCGTAAATAAGATAAATGTTTTTTTTCTTGATGTAGCTACCTGTGAGTTGTTGCATAAGTAGGTCATTTGAAAGTTGTGTTGGGGGTGTATTTAGATTAAAATGTGTAGGTACATGAATAATTATTATATAGCTGTATATATTCTATTCTTAATATGATTTTCGATTTTTTTTACATTTTATTATTTTATGAACGATAGTAAGAATAATATAATTTTATAATATTATTGTATAAAAATAATATTTTGACAAGTGAATTTCAGAATATTTTTAATGGCCGGTGTAATATATCATCCATTTTCGAACCTCAATTCAACATGTTGAGTTATATTTCTCTAGAAATTACTTCTCTACAAGAGAAAGTGCACATCTATCAACTTAAAAATGATCGATTATTTTTAGTTTAATTTCATTATGTTTAAAATATTAAAACAAAATATATGAAGATTTATACAACGGGTTACAATAAAATAATGGAAAGTAATTATTGTAAGGATGTACTATACATCATTAGTATCTATTTTAGCATATATTTTAATTGAAAAATAATAAAACATAATTCAGAATATATATATATATTTTTTTTACTATTCTATACACGTTTTATTGGATTAGATTTTATATAAATTACTTAATAAGTATAATTTTGTAGATAAAACTAAATAATAATTCGGAATAAAATATATAAAAGATAATGCAATCCAATTTTAACTTCAAAAAAAAAGTATGCAAATAATAGGTACATAATTTATGATACAATAATTTTTTATCTACATTTTTATGTCAGTTTTCAAATATAATTTTATTCTTATAAAGTTACAAGTTATAATACAATCATTGTCAGTTATATATAATATATTATAACAATATTAAAATATTGGTTAATTATTGGTAGAGATAAAATAAATAATGAGTTTTATCCACTTGTCAATACAGAACAGTCATATATTCTTACTTAATAATTTATAATAATAAAGAAATCAGAAAATAATATTAATAATTAATTAATCTGTAAAGGTATTAGCTTATATTCGTTATTAGTAACGATTTAATTTAAGTTTTAAATTGTCAAAAGATGTTGTGGTAATTACTGAGTTTACATGATTATACACTGTTTTATCTAATTTATATAATGTTAGAGTAGCGTAGCTCTTTAGAGTGTTAGTAAATACAAATATTAAAATAAATACAAAGGCTTGGTATAAAGTATATAATATGTACAATTTTAAAATTTTATTTGTATCTATGATTTTTGTTTTTGTAACCAGAAACGATAAGAGATTAGAAATTATATTTGAATTTATCAAATCAATATTAAAAAGTTAATGGTCAATAAAAAAATATTAAAATATAAACAGAGTAAGGGTTTGATAGTTACCAAGAAATGAAGAATATCTGGAAAGTTATTTTTATTTTTTGCCAAGAACGTGATGTGGCGTCGTAGACCATGGGATTAAATGAACATCGTTTTCAAATTATTATTATATTGCTTACCAATGTTATCTTACATACTCATATAACTTATTGCTTAGCTCAGCGATTCCCAAACTGTGATGTTCTCGTCTCTTGGGAGGTACGAAGTAAATATTGTAGACATTTATCTTTAGATCCATTAGACTTTTAGGATTTTGTTTTTTAGAACTAATATGTCAAAATCAGCCTCAAAACTACGCATATATTAATACAATTTATGACATTGTATTTATGTGAAACAGTATTTTCAGTATTAGCCGTAATCTATAATAATAGATTTTATATTAATAATTCATTACACAACATGAAAAAAAAGCGTAAAACAGTCAAAACATTGCTTCAAACGTGAATACATTAAAATGGAGAATAAACGTGAAAAAATAATAATTTTTAACCTATTTTATATTAAATTTATAGTATATGATTATTCAATCATGGAAGGCGTAATTTTTTTTTTTTTTTTGGAGAATTAAATAAATTTCTTTGGAAACCGCTTGCTTAGCAAAATAGGGTAAGATATTAAAACAAAACCAAATAGTAGGGAAATTGGTAGACATTTTGTGATTATTAAATAAAACATTTTAATCTGGTTATTATTGAGTGATAATAACTATAAGTAGTACATTTTTTAATTTGTCTAAATGTTATAAAATATATGTTACATTTCTTACTTTACTTATCTAAAAGATTAACTTAGTTGGTAGGTTTGGTATTTTTTTAAATGAACCTAAATAATTAAATTGATAAATTATTAGTTTCATATATTTGAAGTATTGAAGTAAATAGAATGTAAATTTTAACTTAAAAAAATATGTTATGTTTATAAGGAATATGGAAGAATAATAATTGAGAAGTATAATACATTTTTATCCAATGGTAAAAAATATCGTAATTTATAAAAAAAAAGGTAAGAAAACATATTCAGAACCTAAATCGATATTTTTCAATATTTATATTGGATTCGATTGTTGAAAAAAAAAAAAAATTTAATAATGGTGATTGTACATAAACACTATAATATTTTGTGAGGGATTTTTTTTCTATTTATGATCGTATAGCGGTACACTTACTGATTAAAAATGTAAATAGAAAAATAATTTGTTTATTTATTATTTTTGTACTTTATTATCAAATTGAAGAACATGATGCTATTACAGTGTAATTCTGAGTCAATAAGCAAAATTAATTTTTCCATTTCCCTCTAACTATATATTTCCGCCCCATTCAATGTCCGATAGCAAACCCATAAATTACGTTAATTCGTCTGGCCATATAGGGGCCCGTTAATAACATTATACGCATTAAATATTCCTATAAGATTGTCACACGTTCTTATCACCCTCGTGTTACTGCTTTTTTACGAGTTTCCAATATACTAGAGAATAGATAATTATATATTAATAATATTAAAAAAACCACGATCCGGCCTAAATTCCGATTAGTAATCGCAAAGTTTACACTCTTGTTGATGAGTTTGGAAGGCTATATTTAAGGATATCATTTCTAACACAGCTAGAAAATTAATGTGAAAAAAACTCACTTTCTCGTATAATTTATGTTTACGTTTAAATACAGATCCATTTGGCGCCCAGAGACATCCATTTTTAAGCACCCACTCTTAAGAATGATGACCTGGGGATGATTTGGAAATTAATTTTCCCAAATTTATTATATTAAAATTTTAACATTTTATCTACAACAAATAAGACTTCCTTGGTCATGACATTTTTTCTAGGTGCACATAAATTGTGTTACTAATGTATTTGAAAATAAAATATAGCCTTTGTTACTCGTTGATAATATACATTTTTATAAGTGAAAAAATTTTTAAAATCTATTGAGTGCTTTTTGAGCTTATTCATTAAAAAAATACGAACACATTTTTTTTCTTTATAATATTAGTATAGATTACTTTAAGCAAAGTGTTTAAATTAAAGCAACTAACAAGTGATATAATATTATAATAGTATTATTAATTTTATTCCGAGTTATATATTGAGTCGAGCGTCTCATAGTTTTAAAAGTTTTGGTGCTCGAGGAAAATACCCCATAGCCCTCCCTCTCACTTAACATTGCCCTGTTTGAATACATTTTTATTTTGAAAACAGTTCTGTCTACATGGCTATTTTTTTGTATAATATTATTTTTGAAAATACATTTTTAAAAAATAAGAAAATTAAAATATTAGGTATAAAGAAAAAAAATTGATTCGAGGTGGAATCTGAATATTATAGTACATTTAGTTTAAAAATATCCATTAAGAGACAACTTCACAAAATTAATATTATAATATAATAAACAATATAGACACTGCAACTCATTAGAAAATAAAACATTAAATCATTACTTTTATCACGGACCTATCACTTATTGGAATAATAATACTTGAAATTTATTTTAGGAAATTTATGAATTAAACGAAAGTAATATAATAAATTATTTATTTTAATAGTTTTTTTGTTTTGTACTTCTATGTTAATTATAAATTAAGACTGTATAATTATTTTGTTTTAACATATTTAATTAGAAGCGTGGAAATAATGTTAATTATATCTGAATTCATACGGACCAAATGTATTCATGTAAAGTACACATACAAGTGCATAATAATTATTTATTCTTTATAGCTATAATTTCTTCGTGAAAGTATTCGGGGTGACTTATTGAATTTTACTTCCAAACACTGCGAAACATATCGTCAGTCATAAAATTATATATTATTTTATTTATTAATTTCTTACTACAAATTGTAATTAGTTTACAATAATTTATAATAAATTTAACAGTGTGTGTATCCGACATTTTTTGTTTACAATTAAATATATGTTATATTACTATTTTATATTTTTATTATAGATTCGGTTAGATAACAGTTTGGTAACCAAAAAAAGAAACATTTTTAGATCCTCTTCAGTGAAATGAGAGATTCACATATGCTTATAGGTTTTATTATGATGATTTCTTTTTTGTGTTTGTAAACAACTTTTTTATCAAAAATCTTCCTCCAATTAAAATCTTTATTTGATTTAGTTGGTGCATTGTTAAGATCATTTTTTAAATTTCTCATGTAGTTTTGTTTATAAATGAGAATAACTGGAAATTGTTTGTCTAATTTTTTAGTTCCTTTTGTATGAAAGGAAAAAAAAAGGGTTAATAATATTCTGCTCAGAATCGTTTATATTTAACAATGGTTTATTGTTGTGTATAGATATAACTTGAATGATTTTATATAATATCCTTCCCAAATTGTCTTCCTAAATCAGTGTTCACTTATTAGAAGTATCAGCCATTTTATACTTAGATATAGGTATATAATTTTTGTACGGATCCTAAAATATATGAGATTCGTTACATTTAATTTAATATTAGAAAACAATATATTTATGTATGTACTTTTATTATGTATTTATGATACGCCTAACTGCGTGGCAGTGTAGTATTATTTTAGATGGCATGCCCAATATCCATGAATATATAGCTACGATTTTCCTTTATTGACAAAATTGTCAAATACAAAATTTTCGTATATTTCTTTAGATATACATTTTCAATAATCGAACACTGTAAATAATAATAATAATACTGATATACCTACTGCGGTATGCATACACTACAAACTGTTTTTTTTTTCGTACAATATTTGATATTATATTAACTTCGTACAATTTGTATATTGTATTTATTTCTATACCCTTGATACGCTAATTTATTTATTTTTAAACTTTTTTTTAGGCTCTAAAAGAGGCGTCCGAAAAGTAACTAATTATAATACTCTTTTAATCTTGTTAAATTATATAATAATATTTAGTTTGATTATGTGTAGGTATATTATATATTAGCTATTCCACGCCCGACTTTGCCCGTGATAATTTTTTATTCTTTTTACCATTATTCCCAATTTTTTTGTCCGTATCAATATATATAATAGAAAAAAATAGGTGAAAAGTGTTCTAGAGTGTCATACATTTTTTCATCCATGTTATCGTAGATATCCGCACTGCACAGGGATTAAACTATAATACTTACGGTACAATACATACATAGAACTTATAATTCTTTGTAATATAAAAAATTATAAAATTTTCAATAAAAAATATTGAGGGATAAAATCTATCCTATCTCTTAAATTGGACTAAACAATATATATTTACAAAATTTCATAAAAATCGGTTTAGCAGTTTTGGAGATTACCGTGAACGAACACGGGATTTTTGTATATGAAGATACAATATATATTTATTTTTTTTTTAATTGTGGGATACATGTATTATACTCTTTGTATGGTTTACTTTTAATAATTTTGTATAATAAATGTATGTATTGTTCAGTATGTATAATACAATTTTTATTATTTATTATTTAATTTTTATTATTATTTTGTTTGTCGATTTCGAAGTGTTTAGGACGACTTTCTTTTCACGTTTTGTTGAATTAAAAATGGGTAATATATAAATGATTCGGATTAAATAATTTAAATAAAATAAATCGAGTTTTCAAAATAAATTGTTATTATTATTATTTCATAATTTCAAAATATAATAAAAACAAAAAATTTTGAATTATTTATAGGCATTTGAATTTTGTGAGGATTTTACGTAATTTATATTCATTAAGCAATCTGTGAAAAAAATTATTAGATTAAACAGACATGCTTGAAAATTTAACAGAAGGTTCATTATAAGTCGTACTTTTGAATTGTAATGTATAAATTGAGTGTGCTGTAGAATTTTTTTTTTATAAGAATTTTTGTATCAAATTTTAACGAAAATCGTAAATCGTAAACACTACAAAACATTTCAAAAACTCCTCTCAGAATTATTTTTCGTTAGCAAAGATTAATAATTGCATATAGGTATACATTAAATTATCTTCTATATCCTACCTTTCCAACAACTCGACTATACAGTTGCCCACCCATCGTGCGAAGTATGTCCGTCCTTTTAGTATTACCGGCCGAATTGCTCGAATAATTCTGAATACTATAATATTTGAGAGTTATTATTGCGTATGTATAATTTGTCAAATTAAAATAAACGCGATTTAATTTTTGAACCACAATATCGTATACTAATAATTACACTAAATTAATTAATATCCGTTTTAGTGTTAAAACGATGCGATGACTACTAATTATTCCCGATTATCTCGACTTCTCTGCGAATTTAAAATCCCTCGACATGTTTAGGAACTATACGAAAGAACATATTGTTATATGAGTATCTTAATTTTATATTAAAGTAATAACTAAGACACCTACTTACTTAATTATTTTTGGGGTCTTCTAAAGTTTTTGACTGACAATCCTAATCGTTATCGAATATCAACATGAAATTGAGACATATTCTATTGGTACCATTCACTAACGATCTATTCGCAATACTAATCCGATAATTTGTTTATTCGTCAAATAAATGTAAAAAAAGATTCTCGTGATACATTATAAAGCCTATCATATCTTTTGAAGACTTAGAACTAAAATATATAACAAATTATTGAATCTAGGCTTGGATATGATAATATATACAATATAACATAATATGCTTGAAATTCATCACCACCACCTATGAAAATTTAAATCATAAAAAGTTTATGTAATATTTGTTCTCAGGTAGGATGAGGAAGGGTTAAAGCTCTGTTTTCCTATCACTAATACAATGTACCATATATCGCTTATATAAACGATTATCAGCATTGAGGACTATTACAATTTTTGTGTTATTATATTTTTCATTATTTTTTTATTCTTTGGGAAAGAATACAAAAATATTTCAGTTATAATATATATTATAAAGATAATTTATTTTATTTTTAAAATAATTAATAATGGGAAATTTGGAACTTTTTAATGTTTACAAATGAAGTGGTTTTTATAAGAATTTTATAAAACTATTGATTTTACATAGTAAACATAGTTTACATAGTAATTTTACATTGTATACATATTTTGTATTTTTATGGAGTATTTTATTGAAAAAGTTATTAATAAAACAACGAACTAAATATAATTAAACTGACGTCATATACTTTGTGCGCCTGTGGCCGTATTTGAATATGAATATGTACATAATAATGTATATAATAGACAGTGTTAGAAAAAAAAAAATGATCATATTGGGGACGGATGTTGTAGGTAGGTAGTTGGGAAGGTAGGAGGATACATAAAGTTATTTAATTTATATCTGTAAGCAATGGTAAACCATTGCTAATGAAAAACGATTCAAAGCGAAGTTTGGTTATACATATTTTGAAAGGCCGTAATAGTTATGATTTTTATCAAAATTTAATATTAAAATTATTTTTAAAAATAATACTACATTACACTCATTTTTTGTTTTACCATTTAGCGCTATGACTAATAAACAACCTGTCCAATGTTTAAGCATTACTGTTTAGTCTAACAATTTTATCCACAGAGTATCTATAAAAAAAATTACATAAAATCTCACAAAATTAAAATTTCTACAAATAGCTCAAAAATGGCTCATGTTTCGGACAGTTTACCATGTCTAGAAAAAGCAAATATAAGATTTCTGTTAATATTTCAATTCTCTACTAATATTTTAAACTGAATTATAAAAAAAAAATAAACTTTAAAATAATAAAAGCCTTATTTCCGTACGTTTTCTTGTTCTTTCAAAGTTTTTTTCGGTTTTGCTCAATTATTAATAAAGCAACAAAGAAAATAAAAAAGATATTTTTTTATTATTCTATTGAAGCAATATTTCTGATAAAAACCATCTTGTATAAAAATTTAAAATAATGAAATCGTATGCCGTACATTTGTTCGTTTTTAATTTTTCGTCTTTTTCCGGTATTTCCAATTATTATGAAAACTACTTTGAAAATCAAAAAACGACTTTATTTGTGATCTATATCCAAAAATTAAACAAATTCACTTGGTATTTTTTGATTAAAGCAATATTTCTGGTAAAAAACAAATTTTACAAAAATTAAAATCAATCGTGCGTTGTAAATATTTGTCGTTTTACCGATAATTTTCTTTCTGATTTCCCCAATTGTTTTAAAAACACCATGGAAAATCAAAAAATGACTTCTTTAATGTATCAATTAGATAAAATTTACTTTCAGAATAGGTGCTAAACCAATAGTTCCTTCGCTAGGCTCCGAATCTCAAAAATTATATGTATAGTAAGCAGTTGATTGAACGTATAGTAAGCAGTTGATTGAACGTTTAAATCATTTTATTTAAATAATTTAAATATCAGCTTTTAAATAATTTAAATATCAGCTNAGATAAAATTTACTTTCAGAATAGGTGCTAAACCAATAGTTCCTTCGCTAGGCTCCGAATCTCAAAAATTATATGTATAGTAAGCAGTTGATTGAACGTTTAAATCGTTTTATTTAAATAATTTAAATATCAGCTATTTTTATTATTGTATGCACTTTGATTAATATTTTTTAAATATTAATTATTAATTATTAAAAAAAAAAAACAAGAACGTATAGGTTGTTTATTTAAACGTTTACTTTTTTATTGATTGATAAAATGTATTATTCTACGGATGAACATCCTATTTAAATGGTGGTATTATTGAAAATTTACTATTTATACTTCTGAGATTCTAAATATATTTTTAATGTTGTTATAGTTGATAAAAATATAAAAATAATTATTTTTAGTATTTAGTAGGTACTTACAGTATATTATTAGCATTTTCTTTCCGATTTCTCGACGTTTATAAACGAGTCGAATTTTAAAACACGGCTTTATGTAAGTGTGAATAAACTTAAACTAATGCAGTATAGGTACTGCATGATACAATTGCACCTCGCTCATTTAGTACAGGTAGCTGCTATCACATCGCTAGCATTGTTTGCGGTGATAATAAGACACTTTTTTTGTCACGGTTGTATTATAGCTTACATAGTCGTTTCTAGGTCATTAGAATATTTGATCCTCAAAATTAATTTATTTCCTGATTAATTTTTCATGATTAACAAAAGTAGGGCTGTAAAACATATTATAGAGAGATATAAATAGGTAATTAAGTTTTGATATTAAAAATCAGTTTTAGTTACTCTGAAGCTTGTTCCCGTAACTAAAATATTTTTAAGTTGCGTTTTCATTATTTGAATGATTTATTCATTTTTTCTACCTATTTGTATTATAGTTTACATCACTATAAGTAATTATTAAAAACGGTGTGTTAATTAATCATTGCATTATACGATACGACCTGTTGTGTTTTCATTCAAGTATAGTCAATTTCTACGGAATAAAAAATAATATTAATAATTTTATGAAAAAATACCCTTCTTTCTGATAAGCCTTCATTATTATAAACTTGAATTATTATTTCATCCGTTCTATAGTTTTTCAAATTTTCGAATTTTTAAAAAATTATATTTATTACGATTCTATACAAATATTATGTCTTTATGAAATATGTATATTATCTAATATCAAACACAAATATGAAAACGGGTAGGGTACCCATTATAGTATTAATAATGCTGTCATGTTAAAATATAATTAATAATTATTATAACTACATAAACTACTAGGCTTATACCTTTAATTTGTTTATACATTTACGATAGAAAGAAAACATTATTGTCATTTTACTCGTATAAGTAAAGATTTTTTTTTTATACTATCCTAAGAATTTAAATTAAATTTGAATAAAAATTGTGTTGCGGTCGTAATTATACTCGTGACTTGTGGTCTGATAATAGTAGGTATCTATAAAAACCTAAAAATCACATGTACAAATTTAGTAAAGGTAATATACAACTATATGTGATTAATTAACAATTGTATTAATATTTATATAACTAAGTAAATTTGTTAAAAAATATGTATATTTTTATATTGATCGAAGATCAACATAATATAATATTTCGTTTTATTTTGATTGAAATAGTTAAAATGTTGGTTTATATGCACATACAAACAAAAACGAAGTTAACTTTTTTGCTTGTACCTTTTTTGTAAATGGAATAATATTTTTAGTCATATAAACTTACCTTGTTAAAATAAATATTGAGATAAAAATATAATTATGATTTTTAGATATTATAGTATTAAACCCTATATATTATATTAAATGAATTCCATTTAACAATGCGATTAATTTTCATTATAACATTTTTTGTTTAAATTACGAAGACCAAATGAGTTTTATGTTATTTTAACACGATGAAGAAAATCAATTTCTTAGATAATAATTTAGTTAAGTGGTATTACTGAAATTCATTTGTTTAAAAAACAAAATACTTCGTTTAAGTTATAATTTAATAATTGTTCGTAAAAATACATTTTAGTTTCATTTAAATAGTCGTGTAAGTATAACGGTATTTGCATTTAATAAACCTATCAAATTTTAAAAATAAGTAACACTCGCAAAAATTAAATTAGAAAACCGGATTTACCATTGATAATCATTGGCTATAGATATATAATTACTAATATTATTACTAATATATCTATCAACTAATCCCGTCCAACATAAACAACTATTTTACCTACACCTAACGGAAATTTGTATTCAAATAAGTTATATTTATTTAATATTAATTTTTTAATGTTTATATTATAATGATATTATTTAAGAAATACATACCAGAATATGATAGTTATAAAAAAAAATATTTAGAGGTATGTAAACGTTTAACGTTATAGAAATATGATAACGTAACAAATAAGACATCAATATAATATTAAATAAAATATGTAAATTATTCGAGTATACCTAGAAGTATACCTATACAGTTTTATAGGTTTGAATAGGAAATTGTATGTGCAGTGTGTATATAATATGGTGACGACCAACTGAATACAGTGTATACTATTCTCACAGCAAATAAAAACTATCGCATTGGCGGTAAAACACATGTGGAATATTCTGTGTTAAGCAAACAGGGTGATTCACTCAACTGGAAACACTCATTATCTTGGAAAGTATTAACTTTTTTCGAAATTATTTGTTTTTAGAAAACTTAAGAAATAAATAGTTCTAAAATGTTACGTTATAATTTTTTTCGTACCCCTTATTTTTGGGGGTGAATCGAGTACCTACTTTTGATTTTCAAATGGCAACCTATTTTTGAAAATGCCTTAAATAGATAGAGTATTATTTAAAATAAATTTTGGTGTTGGAATTTTTGATTTTTGTCCACCCGTTGACAAGATATTTCACTTATAAGTTATGATTAGGAGAAGAGTAGTGATGTAAAATTAAAATTAAAAATAAAGGTGATAACTGATAACTGATAATCTCTACTACATACAAACAATGATGTCATCTGATTAGGCTAACTCGCGATTAGGTAAAACTTTGTTTCAAAATACTATCTTAAGATTAGTAGATTGAGAAGATACCTTACCTACTGATATTCCGAAACCATATTTTATCCACAGACCTATAAACTAAGTTATAAGTTTATAGGTCTATGATTTTATCAAACCCTCAAGCCTACAGTATTATATGGTTGTAACCATGAACCACGGTTATAGAACTTTATCCGTGATTGTCAAGGCGGGTTCACACTACACCGTGTCGTGTGGAGTGGTGCTTTTATAATGGTGCACGTTCGTGCTGTGCGTTTTCAAAAATATACAATACCAATGATACCAATGATTGTTATCAATTATACAAATATTGTACCTTATAATGATAACATTAATAAATTCAAAATCTAAAATCACGAAGTAAGATATATTTTGATTTATGTTAAAAACATAAAATCCATATTCTGTAAATAAATGTATTATTAAAATATAAAACATATTACAATGTCAGTAGCACTCAAACGAAAATAGTATAAGTACAACTATGATGTACATGAATATAATAAAAAATATACCAAAGAAAAATTTGTATTATGTCGTTAGTAACGAATCTTGTAGACGAATATTTTGATGAAAGAAAAAAGTAATTAATAAATTTAAAATATTAAAGTATTAATATAGGATATTTGATTCAATAAAATAAAAACAGTATAATATTATTCACTCACAATCATTTCCCAAATTCTATATATTTTGTTATAGCTATTTCGAGTCAATAGTAATTATACCTGATGATAAGATTTTACCATTTTTTTTTAGTTATTATATTTCTACAGATAAAATTTAAAAAAAAAAACAATAAAAAAATGAGCATATGCATTTAAATGTTATGATATTTTAACCTTGTGTCTTGGTTTTTATTTGCAAAAGTGTAAGTAGTCTAAGTAAAATGCCACTAACTTGCTGTGTGCTTGAGTGTGCTAATTGTTACCATAAGGTCGTGTTAAAGTAATTGTATTCAAGTATGTATATGTATACAGTAGTTTTCAATATGGTCATCTATACATACAATTTTACTGCACTGTAATATTTTTTTTACCAAATAATTTTTGTATAGATTTCCAAATAATAATGTAGTTAAATAAAAATGGATAGCTGCTATAAAAAGATAAAATTGTATTCCAACATATCAGGATATGTAAAATTCATTTCACTGACAATAATTTTGTTCAACGGCCAGATATTATAAATAATAAATATAATATAATATATAAATAATTATATTAATTATTATAGAATATATTTTTGAGTTCATGAATTATGATAAAATATATCTATGTATAATCACAACGATATAAAAATTGATAAAATACCATACCTTTTAACCAATATGGCGGAAAAGCGGCAACGTTCGGCCTGCTTGTGAATTTATACTAGTTAGCAATCTAGTTTATTATCTGTATCTGTGATAATCATAGACCTGATAATATAGGTTATCTATAGGTTTATAGGTCTATGAGTATAATATATTAATAATTTAAATAATTGATTAATATTTAATAGATAGTATTATCATTGTTAATTTTAGACAATGGTGGGAATACATCGATTTCCATCTTCGAATATCTATATACTCGAATATGATATACCGGTTTATATATAAACGAATATCTAGATTTTTTTTTAAACTCTTTTGTATTTCTGTTGATAAAACCTAGCATTTTATATGATTTTAAAAGTTTACACCTAAGTCTTTAATCGAATTTACTTTATCAAGAGAATAGTTGTTAATTTGATACTGAAATATTGGATTATGGATTTTTATTACATGTAAAAGAAATTATATGACATTTGTTAATATTTAAAAGAAGAAGATTTTGTTCACTCTATTGGAAAAATAATAGGTAGTAATACAATACTTAATTAGTACAATTAATACAATAGTTAATTGTATTATGTTGTAGCTACATTTGATATTAAATAAATACAAATAAATTTAAATAAGTCATAATACAAGAATGCAGGTATTCAGATATTTGTATAAATATTTAATTACAGCACTTGACATAATTAAGTTTGGGATAATCCATTGGCGGATATTTGGTTTCGTCTGTGGGGGGGGGCTTAACATTTTTGTCTTATTCATTAGCGGAAACAAATATTTTTAGTCGCTTCCGACGCTTCCACCTACTAACTGTAGTGGGTACTCCTACTTGATTCTAGCTGAGGTACCAAATATATATATATATATAGGTAATAGGAACCTAAAAAAATAAAATATTGAATAGCTACTAAATTATTTTTATTTTAATTGTATATATCTATATTTTTGTGCAAATATATTAACATTGTTTCAGTATTAATAGATTTAGAAATTTATTTTTCAATATATATTAAGGTGTTGAACCTTTCACAGAAAAATAAAAATAAAGGCGATCACCGTATACGCTCTAAAAACGTAATCGACACTAATGTTGTGGCGGTCTGCAGCTTGCGTATTTATAACTTTACAGGTATCGCAAACAAGTTTTAGAATATTCACGATTATTAATATATACCTACAAAATATGATTTTCCCAACAACGATAAGCCGTGAATATTCCAGACCATTCTCGTATCTCAACAAAATAAAATAAAAATTATAAATATTAAATATTGAAACACGTGAATTTTTATTTTGACGTTTACATTCTGGGGGGGCCTTAAGCAGAAGAAGATGACCGATTATTTTGTTTAGTATTATTTAGTATGGTGTTATTTTTATTATTATTATTTATCATTATTTTTGTTTGCAAATGCACACGTACAATATACTCGTATACGTTTATTTTAAAATTTCTGTTAACTGTCTTAGTCCCGGTTCCCGTAACTAATGGTAATTGAATTTCTACTGTAATTATTATTTAATAATAAATAGGTTACAACACCAATCATCTATAGAGGGACCATCAGTATTTTGCATTATAGGTATTATGTAATACAATAGGTAGGTATAATTTTAAGTAAAAATATGTAGAAAATGGCATATAGTTTACACGAGTACTATTAATTTAAAAATAATATTATTATTAGTTAAATATTAATATAGTAATTTAAATAAATACATAGTTATATGTTTATGCATTTTTGTTAGTTGTTTTTATTAAATTAATTGATATTATTATCATATATATATATATATATATATTATTGATATATTTTATGATACAAAAAAGTCATCCAATGATTTTTGGAAATTTTATCACGTCTAGATAAGTCCAATATAAGTATTTATACCAAGTTTCAAGTCTCTACGTGTATTTATAAAGTAATTACAACAAAAAAAACTCAAAAATTAAAATTCTTAAAAAACTTAAAAGTGATTTAACACTTTTAGTGATGATACCATAAAAAAGTAAATCAATAAGGCAACAAAAAAGGTGTCCTGTGGTTTTTTGATTAAATCATTTTTTGTGGAGGAAAACGTCGTCCGTGTTTTTATAAAATAATTTTTAAAATTTCAAACAACAAAATTTATTTTAAATAATACTCTATATTCAAAATAGGCTGCCATTTGAAAATCAAATTTAGGCAGCTATTTCACCCCCAAAAATAAGGGATACAAAAAAAATGATAACGCAACATTTCAGAACTATTTGATTCTTAAGTTTTTAAAGAAAAAAATGTCGAAAAAAGTTAATATTTTCCGAGATAATGAGTATTTCCAGATCAGTGATCACCCTGTATAATAACAATAACAATAATAATTTGAACAATATTAGACTTACCTGGGTAGATGATTGGATTTATAATTGGGTATAATTATTATTGTGCAAGTGCCCAATTGATATGTCTTCCGTATTATAGGTACGCAGGTAGGTGATAGACGATTGTATTAAAGGCTAATAGGTACTTAATTTGAACTGTAAACTAGTGAGTTGTGCGTTTATGTTATGTAGTGTCTTATTATAGCCTTATAAGTTTAATTTAACGGTCGATTATTGTTAAACTGTTTCTATATTACTATTATCAATACGATTTTAAACCGGTCCGATAATTTTAACAATATCGTTATTTCTATTTGTTAATAAAAATAAAAATAATTACTGTTATTATTAACTGGTTAATAAAAAAATTGGAAAAATGTGGACAACTAATGAACAGATGGCGTCTAAAGGACAACTCTACATGTGATTGTGATAAAATTCAGCAAACAATTGTGTGTAATAATTAAAAAAAATACGATAAATAATAATAATTATTATTGCTGTAATAATAACGTTGTTATATAGTAGGTACCAGAAGTGACAAGCTAATATAAAAATGGTCAGAAAAAATCATTATTACCAACATAACAATACCACTTTATACACCCTTCCCAAATTCCCTTTACCAAATTTTATAATAATCTAAAACTGATATCATAACATTATGATCGAAATTCATATTATTTAAATTAATATCTCATACAAAATAATAACTTTTATTTTTTTAATATTAGAAAATATGGATTATATAGCTACATTCGAATTGGTTCTCGATATTCTAGACGATACACATTCGAATTGGTTCCTGATGAAGACTTTCAAAAAAGGCAAAATGTGATATAATAATTAAGAATAATATTATTTAATGTTAATATAACATCATTATATATACAGGTATATATACATAAGCGAAACTGGGTAATTTTATTAAGACAGACCAAGTGATAAATATGAAAAAAAAAATTATAATTTCAACTTTATACAGTAATTTACCTTCTTTTAATGTAATGCAATTTTTTTTACAAGTTAACGTTAAGTGTTTAATATTAGATAAAAAATGTTACTATATTATAAAATTAAATAACAATAAGTGAGTTTTTGATAATAGACGAAGATTAAACAGTACCAATTTTTTAAATTCTTCAATGACGTCCTCAACATCAGCCTTAATAGCCCTTGATTGTTCCACGTATGATAGCATGAGATCATTTAAACGGTCCTGTTTCATGGTAGTTTTCACATGAGTGAGTTTAGAAAATACTCTTTCACAAGAAGCATTGGTTACTGGAATCGCACAAAAATCTTTGATAATTTTTATAAAATTATTATGTAGATATCTTTAATGTTCGGAACCAATTTAGCCACACCCTACAATCTTGTTTAACACGTTTTGTCACACAATCTGTGTCCCGAGATAACAGTAAACTTATTTCAGTTTTTAATTCATCTTCAAAAATATCGAAATATAAATATATATAATATATTGATAATAATTTAATATCATCTTTATTTAAGTTAAGCTTAAACATGTTTCCAACTGCTGTGATTAAAGGTATTGTACCTTGATTAAAACGTTGATCAATATCGTTTATAAGATAATCTAATATAGGATTTACACAGCAATACGAATTTCTTCTTTTTTTGTACTAAAAATATACTCATTATTTATGTTGTCATCAAAACGTTTTGTTTTTTTTATTATTCTTATTGATGGTTCATCAATATCGTATTCTTTACACTTTATTAAAACTGTTGTATATGCTTCATCGTATAAATCATTATTTTGATATAATTGTTGTAAAGCTGAACGAAGATTCCTAATTTCATTTATTGCAAGGAATAAATTAATTGAAGGATTCTGAAGTATTTTACTTACTTTAAGAACTAGTTATAGAATGGGATGCATTAATTCGGGACTAATTATAAAATTAAAGTCCTTACATTGTAAAATAATCCCTTTTCCTTTAACTATAATTTCAGGAGATTTGGTTGTTTTATTAACTTCAATTATTGTTTTTATTATAGTTGAAAAGTTCTCGCGAAATGCAGATGTTATATCTGTTTTACATAGAAATTTGGCTGTGGACAGAGATTTCAATAATATTAATTTTTGAATTTATCGCGTTTTGTATGTTTTCAAAAATCGCATGACGTGTTGGACTTCCCTCAATAAAATTTTAAACCGTTTGAATAACGTCAAATAAGTCGAATATAATCGAATTTTCCATTCGTAAAATACAAAAGTCCACTAATACAAGGTTCAAACAATATGCAAAACAATGCACATATAGTATTTTTGAATTTCGTACTTTGCACCTTTATAATTATTTTTGCCAAAATAATGTCCTCCACTGCACCGCTCTTTATAGTCGCCGTTTCAACAGTTTAGTGAGTAGTAAATAGCGATAAGATGATAAGACAATAATAGCCATAATAATAATAATAGACATAGTAGGTACGAGTGCTGATTGGTAATACCCACGCATTACGTAAATATATTTATTTAAATAAAACAGAACATTATAGGCATTTTAGATGTGAAAATTAAGTTTTTAAATTGTATTTTAAATTCTACCAAGTCAGTATGATGCTATGATATCCAGCCAGTATTAGGTCAGGTCATAGCCTGACTGAACATTAAGACCTTTCTTACTCTTGAGAAAAAAATTAGTATTTATGCTTCAAATGTAAATACATTACATACTCCTTGTTAAGACACCTATGTGAAAAAAAGTATTATCATCTGCAATAAAACCTGTGATATCTGTAACCATATAATAGGTTACAACTTACAAGTGATAATAATAGTGTCAAAATTTAATTAGTGTCAAATTAAATAGTTATAATTAATTCATATGACATCCATAATCTAAAACCTAAATCAACTTGTCTAATATATAATAGGTGTTTTGTTTTGCCTCCTAAAAATGTTCTGATTTATGCTCAAGCACTCGGACACCCGTGTACATGACGCCTATGTATACAATCAATGGTAACATGTAGATAGTCTGATGTTTGTATAAAATGAGAAGGAAAATTGAAATAGCTTTTAGCTGGCACTACACCCGCACCACCCATGAAATACTATCACCAAATCTATACCAAAAGTATTGGTGTTCTTTTTATTTATATTCCCGAACTTTGCCTATAGGAATCACCACACTGGTAAATTATGTTAAAATGACCAAAAAATCATTATCTCTTTATTGAGACCAGTTACGCAACAGGTATCAATGCTGATATTCAAAAACCGTGGAAATTTCATTTCAGAGTTAATTATTTTTGTGGTTTGGGTTTCCGAGTTTGGCAGTTGCTAGAGTTGAACTATGTTATTGGTGCCATTGGTTGGTGTTGGGTACAGATCTTTTAATTTGAATTCAGCGCGCGCGGTCTATTTGTGCGATCGCAACCAATCAAAACCCCCGTTATTGCGGTCCAATAAGTTGCAACGGGACTTGTCGGGTGAGAGGACGCCGAGTCGCGCTTGTCGCCTACGGCAGCCATGCTGCCGTCGTTCCGTTGTCGTTCGTCCGTTAACGCTATGTCCATGTGTCCACGGGCGTTCTACCGTTCCGTCCTTGTTGTGTGTTCAAAACGTGCTTTCGCAAAACCGTTTATACGATCCGATGTGCCGCCATCGTCAAAACCTCAAGATTCCGCGTCCGTTTGTATTGCAGCCGACGTATCGTGTCGCGGTTTATACGAATTGGTATTCGCCGTGCGCGCAAATCTGTTTCGTCTTGTGTGTCGCTTGTGTCGGACCGCCCGTGTCTCATCGACCCGATGCCGTCACGGGTGCATTTTTACCTACCCGTTTGGATTACCGTCGTATATCGCCCGTCGGACATTTCCCGTTTCGCCTTTATCGTTCGCTCTCAGCGAGCCTCGACCGACTTCGGTCTACCAAAACGTACGTGCGCGAGGGCGCTTATAGCCGCCGTTCGTTTTTACTCGTGCGCTATATTGATACCTATCGACCATTCTGTATAGGCACCTACCGCCGACCGATCGTTCAAACGGCGGCGTCGCCATATCCACGTTCGGTCATTATTTGTGTTTCTCGCTCGTTTAAGGGTCGCTCACGACTCACGACCGGCCCTACGTTCTCGACGCACACGTGATCGCTCGCACAATATTATCCTCGGAGCCGCCGTCCGCCATCTTCTACCACCGCGATCAGGTCGCATCTGTACGCGCAATACCTGGACGTCTACCGCATTCGTTGCCAACAGCAGTCGTTATAACCGCGGTAACCAACAGCCGTGGTATCAGTTCACTCGGACTGATCACAGTCACCGGTAACCAGATCTTACTAAATAATTTATTATAACATTATCACCACGCTGTTATCAATATTTTGTCATTGTGATTTCTTTATCAATATTATTTATTTATTTTTATTTTTACTTTCACTTTTCCCTTTTAATTGAATCATCCGGTTACAGCCGCCCCGCCTGTTATACGAATACGTAAAACCATTTGTTATTATTATTTTTTGTTTAATTTTTTTTTCACACCAATTTACCTACCTCGGTGTTTCATCGTGATCCACAAAATCGCTTTGTGCATCATACTACTGGTAACCTTGTCTATTTCTTTGTCAACATCACCTATACAGTCCACTCTAGTAATCGGCTGAGGTTCACTCCCGAGAACGTTTTCTCTGTACAACCGGAACCGCACAGTTGATATGATATTATATTATTATACTATATTATATTATATTCAGTAATCCGGTTTACGCATTTAATCCGAGCAGCACAATTACTTGCGTATAATATGGTCACGTATAATTATTATTTATTATTTATTTACGTATTAGACTGAGATGAATGATTGTTGTGTATTTTGTGAATGAAATGTTTTGTATTTCAAATGTATACACTTATTAACTTAAATAACTGATAATGAAATGTAAAATCGATAATGTATTTGTTTTCAGAAATCACAATACTTTAGTTGTAAATGCTTGTTATAGAACGGTTTGGTCATGTATTTTCTAGGGTTCTCTCAAAATAACTATGCCGTAATAACTTTGGTTTTTGGTTTTTGGTTTTTGTGGGTACTTAAACAATAATTTTAATTTTTGGAATTTGAATTTTTAACAGCGATTTAGGTATACGATCTGTCGAAATAGGTAATATATCTACTGTCTGTATTACTTTGAAATCTATAAACATTGAATGTATACAATATCGGATATATCTACATTGGTAAACCTATAAATTCAAATACCATGTAGTATGTATAGGTAGGTACTTCGAAATTCAATAAACACGGGTTTAGGTTCTTTTTAATCACATTACACTGTGAATCATGCCAATATTTCATTAATACTAGACATTTTGAGTGTTTTCGGCGTAACGTTTAATAAATTATGACGTGATATAAAAATAAACGCAGTTTCGTTATTACTTAAAAAGTAATAGGTAAGTTAAAAGTTAAAAGACAGTTGCAATTAAGGTGGTACGGGTCTTATTATCACGTTATTCACGTATGGATACCGTTTATGATAATAACACTTAAAAGTCCATGTACACGAGTATAAGAAGATAAAATTAATTTAAAGGCACGAAACGTCAAATAGAGAGATAATTTGTCGCCGACAAGAGAAAATATGCTGTGTATAGAAGGGAGTATTGGAAGAATTAAAAAGGGATAACAGGTAGGCACATCGAGTTGTTATTTTAGGATCAACGTCGCAGTTTGTATGGTTGTTGTCAATAGTGTATTTATAGAGGATATAGGGGATAGATCCTTTCCTTTGGCATTTTTTTTTAGTCAAGTTTTCCGTATTTCTCAATATAATATTACTTTTAAGTTTTAAGTACATCTGTTTTAAAAATATTCTTACCACGGTAATCGTGTCGTTCGAAAATAAGCCGGCCTTTCCCACTACGTGTTGGCCGCATATGTTTGTTATAATATTGTATAGAATTATTATAGATATCACGTTTGTTGCCGACGGTGAGTACTGTTATCGGTCGTCTTATACTACAACGTGAATATGTAGTGAGTAGTATCGCATATTTGCATCGTTTTCACGACACTCCACCGCGTCACGTACCTAAAGGCGGATGTGCATGAGTGTTACGTCTCAAAATTCGTTTCACACGGCTTTTTTCGATGCCGTTTGGCCTAAATGAAAATTTCAATTAACCCTTGAATGTATCCATTGAAAAATAAATTTTATTATTATAATTGATATGGAAATTCTAAAATATATTTAGTTATGAGAAATTGCTGGGCGTTACCATTGGGTAATTTCCCATATTTTAAATACTCAATGTCATTACTCATATTCTTTCATCCCAATTGTTTAATGTACATCCTTGTATAGATTGTAATTTACTTTACCAAATAGAAACAAAAAAAAAAAAAGCTTTGAGAAATATAAGTTTAACCCATTTTTATTTTCAATCAAGGTTTTGATAAATAAATGTTTGCACCTATATTCTGTTGACGCTTATAGTTTTTTTTACCAGCGATTAGTAGCTGTTTTATCAGATTTTTTTATTAGACAAATTTTTTTTCTTAATCAATTTGAAGAGAACGAAAAACAATGTATTTCATTAGATATTTTATAAAAAAAAAATTATATCGCCTGATCTTGAAACTTTCGAGGAAAAGGTATGGAAGAAGTACGATAATCCCAATTTGTTGTGTACAATTCCTGAGAAATTAAAACTTTCTCGGTACTCGTTACCTACTCATTAATAATTTTTAATTTGTAATATTTTTTTAATTTAGAATACCTATTTAGATTATTATAGTAATTATAATAATATGATTATAATTCATAGGTTAGTTATGATCAAACATGTTAGGATGGCCTACTCTGATTAAAACAATAAAATGTAATTCCAATATTATATACACAATTTTAACAGAATTCGGTAGGCTAGTATATTATGCATATGTGTAAATAACTAACTACATACATAAAACAACTGCTTAAGGTAGCCATTGTTTTAGATGGAAAGTTGGAAAGGTAGGAAATTTACATTTATTTAATTTTTATCAAATAACATAATAAAGTAAAAACAAAATTATTAAATGGTTAATACTCGTAAATAAATAAATAAATAAATTAATTAATTAATTAATGCGTCGCCTTGAGTATTATGAAATGTGTATTGTACGACTGGTTTCGAATTAAAAATTCACCGCCAGGTAAAATCACAAAGTCAAAAAGTAAAACGTGACTGAACATGAAATAATAAATGAAGGAATAAATATCTAGGGAAACAATTATACCAATTGGTCATTTTATATAGAAATAATTTATTTTAATATTAGACATAGATATGTTAAGAAATATAAATTGTTTGTTTATAATTTATTATCTAAAATATATTAATACAAGATATTATTTTTAAAATCGGTTTGTACATTTAAAGTATTAAAATTATTTTTCTTTATGTCATTATATGTTTGTAATTCCTCTAAAACTGAATTAATGTAAATGTTATTTTAGATATTTTATATCTCTATGTCTATATTATTATCAAACCTTATATTATGGTTATTTTCTAGAACATGTTTAGCGAAATTTGAATTAGGGGCAGTCTTTTTAAATTTTATTTCTGAAATTTATTCTTTATGTCTTATTTTAAAATTCCTATTTGTCTTGCCTATATAAAATTTATTACAGATACATTTAAGTTTACATATATCAGCATTTTTAAAAGAAAGGGGATTTTTTGTGAAGTTTTTAGTTTTATTGTTTATATGTTTGATTAAATTCTTATTAGTCTTAGAGATATTTTTACATTATTTGTATTATTGTTCAGAATTTTAGTGAACTCGGTGGACATATTATTTTGATATTTCATAATACAATAGTTATCAACATTATTTGGTGATTTGTGTATTATTTTTTCATTAATACGTTTTTGGATTTTTTAATAGTATTTAAATTAAAATTATTTTTTTGGGCTATAATATAGATAATTTTGAGCTCGTGTTGATAATTATGTTTTTATAACGGAATACGTTCCAGCCTATAGAATATTGAATTAAAAAATTAAAAGTAGGTAGTCGTTTCATCCCGAACTTCACTCAGAAGCATTGTTCGTTAGCAATGGTTTATCGTTGCTTGCAGATATAAATTAAATAACTTTATTTGTCCTTCTTTCCCAAATTTCCACCTTTAACAGTGGCGCACCTTCTCGTATTCGGAGGAATTTATATTTAAATAAATTAATTATAATAGTAATAATAATAATGTTATGAATAGTTTATGAGTATAATATCTATTACATTGTCAATCTAATAAACAACTATAACGGTGTATCTACTTGTAACTACGCACTGACGGACACAATGGGGATTAAGGTGTCTAATTTATGTTTAGAAATTTTAAACGAACATTTGATGTTAATTAAAATACTCTATTCAAATAATTAAAAAAGATAATTTTTTAAAAATCAGTAGAAAATAGTTAGGTAGCAAATAGTTTTGTGTTACGACTTACGGTGGATATTTGTCATAACGTCATAGGTTATAACAGTTATATTATACATTTATACATTATTACCTATATATCGACAGATAAATATTATCTGTTTGAAAAAGTTTTTAAGTATAACGAAACACCTAATAACTGATACATATTTAAAACACGTGAACCCTAGAATAAAATAAATAATTTTATTGACAGACATTAAACAGGAAAAAGTTATTTGACAACATTATAGACTGCAGAAGATTATACGGGATGAGAGACTGAGAAAAATTGTGTTCAGTGAATTGCGTGGTATATAAAATAAATAGTATCACATATTTTGTTACGAAAAACTCCTTTATAAAAGGTATGTAATAATAAAGTAACCGAGACGACCGTTAGTATAGGTAGTTTTTTTTTTTTTTGGAAGGATAGGTACTATTGGACACGATACGACTTACCTTACTTATCATTCCTCAAAGTTATTTCCTTTTACAACAGCTATTCTACAGTGTTCCACATATATAACAACGTGATACAATAATATACTTGCGTGTAGTGCTGAGTGCGAAATTAGATTTATTTTTTTTTGATACATAATTTAAACGATTTTGAACTTAAACGAATTTAATTTTTTTTGAACAGTGAAATGTTACTTTATATTAGGTAACAATAATATGAACGAATGCAATTTAATTTCGGTTTCACGTTATATTAATTATTGTAGTCTGTGTATTAATAACTATGTGCG